CTAACAATATGCCTCAAGATATGGAATTTTTTCTGTCCAAAGGTGCACGGAAACCTGATATGAGATACACTATCCACCTTAAGAGATGCCTGAAAAGAGAACTTGTCTCGAGGATTTAGATTCCAAGGCAGAAGTTGCAGGTTTAGCATTGCACCTAGTCCGGTGTAATGATCCATGTTGTCTCTTTATTATATGGTGCCATAGTTCAATGATGATGCTCTGAGTTGTATTCAATAAAATAATAGGGCATGTTGTACCGTCTAATCTATTTAAGTAATTATAATTGCAGTTTTATGCTCCATTTACTCTTACACCATGTCACCACCTCTAAGCCACTGGACAATAAATTGAACTCCACTTGAACTTTTTCTGAACTGCTCTGAACATGGACACTAGTCAAACCTAACAATCATCTCCCTTTACAAATTCACCATCTACCAATGCTCTGTCATATGCTTTTGTACTCTTCTTTTTCCCTATGCTAGTTAAACTTTTCTTTTTAACATAGAATAAGAAAAAATGGAAAAAAAGTGATGTGCTGTTAATTTCCTTCCCAGTGCTGGTCTTGCTCCATCGATTCTGTATTGAATGTTGGGTTGGTGAATGATTAAATTGTACTATTGTAGTATATCCATAGGCAGAAGGCCAATAATGATAACAATTTTATTGACATATCTAAAATCCATATTGTTAAAATGGTTTTTCCCTAAGATTTCTCTTTTAACATGCTTGTGTAAATTATGCCAATGATGGCCGCCAAGAGAAAGCTCATTGACGAAGAAAGTGGAGAACAACCTAATTGTTTTTGTTATGATCATTGTTATGTTTGCAATTATTGATTATTTGAGACAATATATGAATAACTGTTATTGGATTGTTTTAAAGATTGTGTTATTATTGCATTATTTTTAATTGTTGTTTTATTAGGTTTTTTTGCCATGAGTTGTTTTTATTATTTTTTATATATTTTTGCATTTCACTCCGGTTGTTGCTGGTCTCCCAGCCCCTGTTTCTTTATCTTCCTTGTGATTTAGTATGATGCCATTTCCAGGGACTGAAGTCTCCATTGAAGTTTATTGGATATGAAGATGGTATTTCCCATGTGGAGGCTAGATATCCAGCTATACTTTTTAAACAACAACTAACTGCTTGTGTAGAGAAGATTTTTGGCCTTATACGTGATAACTTGAAAAAGGAGCTTTCTCCACTTCTGGGATTATGTATTCAGGTGGCATTTCTTACACATGTTTGATGTCTTGGAGATTCAAGTAATTTGTGACAAAATTACCATGTCATATTTTGTGATTCATTTTTCCTCTATTCTTGGTTGCCGTATAATTTCATAGTAGTAAAACACTTTTTTGTTGGGAAGGAGGGATTTGATGAAGTCACAAACTAAAGAAGTCGATTATGTGCTGAAACAGTTTGCATTGCGTTAGATTTTTTTTCATGAACTTTAATAGCAGCACTTGGCTTCAATCAATTTCTTCCATTGAGCATCATTGCATGTCAGGCCTCTTGAAGATCATTTATTCATCTATCCTGATAACCTTTCAATGAAGTTTAGACTCTGCACTATTAATTTTACATTAGTTGAAAAATTTTATTTGATCTAAATCGGAATTTATTTAATTGAAAATTTTCATTAAAAAGGAAAATGGCATTTTTTAATCCATGTAGCCTACTCTCCCAAGTGGGAAAATGCTTTTGTTGTTGTCTAGCTTTGATTTCATGGTTTTTAAACTAAATTTACAAAAACTATTTTTCTGATTATATGGGATACTGGTTAGGCACCCAAAACAGGACGAGTGCAAGGTGGGAAATCATCTAGATCCCCTGGTAGTAGGCTTCCTCAACAATCACCTGGTGGTCAATGGGACAACATCATCAAATTTTTGGATTCACTCATGAGCCGGTTATGTGCAAATCATGTATGTTCTTTATTATTTCAGTGATCTGTTTGTTACTGTGTTTGATCTGTGTTCATTCTTTTCTTTGTCCGATTTCCTTGATAAAAGTAGAAATTCTTTAAGACACAGAGAAGATAATCACAAAGATTTTGGAGGATTAGGGGTTCTCCTAAATGTAAAAAGAACACAAACAAGGGGAAAAAATCAATGAAGCTAAACTACCTAATTTCTGAGCATACTGGAACCATGTTCTTTACACCAAATAGAAGCCAAACACCTAATCTCATCCCAAATCAGCTGCTGATTCAATGAAACCTCCTTAAAGACAAAAAAAAACTACACTATCAAATGCAGAAAAGTATGGTGCAAATTGCACATTGCCATGAAATTTCAGCTTCTGGAGTGAGTCAATATTCATTCACTTCCGTCAATAATCACGTATTCTTTTTCTTTCCATCTTTTTCAAAGTCTGTTTTGCTTGAAATTTTGAATTTTGAATATTATTTTGTCGATTTCGTCCATGTACAATGCATTACATTGTATCCATGTATATGAATAATTACTTTCCTACTAAAGGAGCAAAATGTAGGGAACAAATAAGAAACAGATTCTGTCCTATCAGTAAAACAAATTTACAATAATTACATAATTATTTCTTTTGTATTTATAACTGTTTCTTGAGTGGTTAACGGTTTACTATCTTACCTAAAATTGCATGTTCAGGTACCATCCTTCTTTATCCGCAAGCTAGTTACTCAGGTTTTTTCCTTCATCAATATTACACTCTTCAACAGGTAAAAAACCCATTATTACTTGTATTAAAAAAAAAAAACCCATTATTACTAGATATGTTTTTCTGTTGCCTCAAATCACTAGTACGCTCTGTTGATTGATTTAGTTGATTTTCTGTAGTTCTATTCTCTAATTTTTAATTTTAAACTTCCCACCATCTCTGTTAGTCTTCTGTTGCGGCGTGAATGTTGTACTTTCTCAAATGGTGAATATGTGAAGTCTGGTCTCGCAGAACTGGAGAAATGGATAGCTAATGCAAATGAGCAGGTAAACTGCGTTGCTATTACTTCATGATTTTAGTTTTATGGCTTAACAAGGTACTTCTGAAATGTAGCATGCAGGAACGTCCTGGCACGAGCTGAATTATATAAGACAAGCTGTTGGGTTTCTGGTATAAGCACTTCCTTATTTGGACTTTTGAGTGTCTCAAATAGCACTACAATCTCATATTTATGCTTTCTTTTGTTTGAATGACAGGTAATACATCAGAAGAGGAAGAAATCTTTGGAAGAAATCCGGCAGGATCTTTGTCCGGTATGATTATCATTATATCATATTAATGGATTGCAGCATCATTTTTATCACATTAAGTTCCATCATTTGATGAAGATGCATAGGACATTGAACCTAATTTTCAGGGTTACAATCACGATTTATGGCCATGAGTTCTTGATTCTAGTTTTGTTTCTAGCTCATTTAATAATATTGGTGAAGTGAAAACTCTTCTTTAGGAGTTCAGTGAAGAAAGTTCGATGATATTAAAAAAGCTATTCGTGAATGTCAATATTTATTTCAACATTATTCATGCATTACCCGTCAAATTAATAGTTTCTTTTAAGAAAATACGTTGCTGATTCCGTTAGACATTAGTAGTACCTCTGATGCCTGACTGATCTATGAATACTGGGAGAATCAGCTGGACCATCATTGCATTGTGTTGGGGGGAGCATGTTTGGTCCTTAGTAACAATAGAGATCATTTTAAGCCATTGATTATTTCTCCTTTCATTGTTTCAAGTGTATGTTGTATTATTTTGTGTGTATCATGGGTGCAATATTCTTTTGGTATACATTTGCTGAAAATATACAATTTAAAGGAAGGTTAACCTTTCGGTAGTTCACTTAACAGGCATTAACTGTGAGGCAAATCTATCGTATCAGTACTATGTACTGGGACGACAAGTATGGAACCCAGAGTGTGTCCAATGAGGCAAGTTGTGTTTTAAATTGATTTAAAATACTATTATGATGGTAGCTTCCTTCGAGTTCTGAACTTATATAATGAACAGGTAGTTAGTGAAATGAGGGAAATTGTGAGCAAGGACAATCAGAATTTGACCTCAAATTCGTTCTTGTTAGATGATGATATGAGGTACTCTGCCTTCTCCCTTCCGAGTTTTTTTCAGTTTTTTGTAGTCTTTTACAATTAGTGTTCTTATGGCCGTTTCTCAAAGTTGGCTTCTAAAGGAGGTTTTTTTTTCTACTTGTTATTAACCTTTTTATGCGATACTTAAACAAATCTAGATGTGGTGGCTTAATCTGATTTGTCATGCAGCGTGTCTAGGTTAAAGTGCATACTTCATGCTTCAATCAGTTCTTTATTGCATTTCAGTATGATGACAAACAAAGAACTGCTTTTGCTACATTGTCATAGATATATAGGATTTTAGATACTGACTCATGGATGTAAATCTCTAATACTTTTGAGATTTCCTTGCGTAAAATGTTTTCATGGGACCTAAAATATATTGGGGATTCCATTTGCTGTGATCCCTTCGTCTTAACCTTCAATTCTTGGTGCAGCATTCCTTTTTCTGCTGAAGACATAGATAAGGCAATCTCTGCTATAGATACAGATGATATTGATCTCCCAGCATTTTTGTGTGAATATCCTTGTGCCCAGTTTCTTATTTTACATGAGAAGTAATTGATTTACGATTTCAAGATCGTTGCTCAAGCTTGAAACTTTGCTTCAACGTTTGATCCCTGGAAAATGTTTCCCTTCACGTGGACAGCAATCTTAGTTGTCATCGGATTTATTGGTCTCGTCACTTACTGCATCTGCCAATCATGATATTAATTACCAATGGGAGATGGAAGAATGGTTCTCTTGGTTTGATTTATAATTTTCCCTAAATTACGTAGTTAAACCAGCAATTTGTAATCATCCGAAGGACAGATGACAGTCTAGGCTTGACGTGCTGCTTCTATTAGTATGCAGCTCATCATCTTAGGTCGATTTATCATCGGGTTTTCTGTTGTATTCTATGTATGTATGCAATTGTAATCAGAGCCTTGGTTAAAGAAACTAATATTTTATTCATTGATGTAAATACTCAACTTCGTCCTTCCGAGTTGCAAATATAATTATTTCTCGTTACTTTTTTAACCTTAAGCATGTCGTGGTGGTGCCGACTTTTTTGTTTGAAAACTTGGAAGATCAGCTGTACACAAACAACTTCATAATGAAAAACCCCTCTTACCAAAATTCCCTTTGAGTCTGCTAGATACAAAGATACTCTTCGCTCCACACAAATTAAACAATAATATCAATTATACACATACCGAATCCAACTTCCCAAGCCTATAAGGACAAGGGTGAGCAACTTAAGTTTACTCCCTTGAGTTGGCTTCAAGGAACGTTTCGAAAAATTTGTAGCAACTTAAAAGGGGAACCAGCCGAGTAATGGCTAATAAGAATGATCGATCCACCAGATACAAATCTCGATATTTAGTGTACGCCATTGTCCATCTTATAGATCCGTGGACGTGTTATCAGATTCCTTAGTTCACCGGACGATTTGCAATAATTACACGTTACAGAGGCATATAGAATTCTTCTTAGAGGACTAAAAACCGAAAGGGTAGGAGTTAGTGCTCTCTCTCGCAAGGCCTGCCATATCCTACGATAGTCAACCTAAGATCAGAATAAAAAAAGTCTATGATTTGTTTCTTCTGCAACCTCCTGCTAGCTTAGACGAAGAAGAATAGCACATGTGCAAGACATTTCATTCAAAGAAGTCGAAACAAAGTTGAGTTATTGGGTTAGTTTTTTTTACGATAGATGAGCTGCTTCATTACCCACGGTGGTGTTGGGCATCATCTTTATTGTTGCAAGAGTAGCACAATTTTGAAGATCGGCCAAGGAAATTGTTCTCCAGGGAGAGAAATTCTGGTGCAAAGGCGAGGATGGAGATGCGGTTGCACTAGATACTAGTCGATTTCGCGGATGGAGTGGTGGTAGATGTGGTGGTGACCTCGGATTTGAGCTTGAAGTTGAATCGTCGCTCGTACAACTACTGCTGCTGTCATAGTTGATGGCAAATGCAAGAGCCACAGCGCTTCGACTCGAGCTTATTGTTCTCTTGGAAATGCCACCACCGTTGCTTCTCAGAGTTAGAGGTAAGTTTCGATTCTTTTCCCAAACATGATTGAATGCCATCATATTTCTACGCCTCCTGCTGTAAGCATTCTCTGGTTTTGCTATGTCTTTCACGGATGGGGAAGTAGCAGCATCTGCCAGACTCGTGAACGACTTTGACTTACCATTATAGAACGTTGAGATCCCCCTCCTGTCAATAACATAACTCCAACCATCAGAGACCAATACACTACACACTACACACACATATATATTATGGATTCATCAGGTGAATAGCAAATCGAATTTAACATTTTACTACTACTACTACTACTTATAGCCAAAAAAATGCATACAAATTATAGTTAAATTCACCGTATTATCACCATATTTCATTCAGACAGGGAAAGAATTTGCAAACATAGTTTTAGTTATTAAGGTCTTAAAAAAATGCATCTATTCCACCTTAACAACCAGTATTACGCTTATACCCTGAGATTAACTTGCAAAATTCTTAGCACTAGATCTCTCGGTACGGAAGCTTATTTAGGTAGACATATAATTTGCAAATCAAATTAGAATCGGTGTTTTTCGTTAGATAACTTAAAAAGTAATTTGATTAAGTCCTCATAATAAAATTCATCAAAAATAAAAATAAACTTTATAAATGAATCTGTACAAAAATAAAATAAAAAATAAAATAGCATGCGAATAAAGTAAGGATCGTGATCTTAGAATACCTGATGGGGAGAACCTGTTGGAGGGAGTCCATCATGTCCAAAGATCCATTATATTTAAAGGCACTCTGAGCCTCATTCTCATTCTCATTCTCACCGCTTTCTGTCTCCGACGACACATCGCTGTCTTTTCCGATCGACGACGACGACGACGTCGTTGAAGATGAGCACGGCTCATCTTCATCTTCACCCAATGCTTCCATCCTCATCTTATCCAAGATTCAGTCCAACACTCACCAAAATCAGACCAAAAACCAAAGTCTTAGAGAGAGAGAGAGAAAGGGACACAAACATACATTACATACACAAACAACACATTGTGTCTTCCTTTTTTTGTTTCGTTATTTATAATTTTAGTATGTAATTAGCTTTGCACTTTAATATTATTATTTTTTATTTAATGGATAAAATACCGAACACGATAGCGTTGTACTCTGTTCCTTTTTACTTTTAATTTTATTTTATTAAATTAATGGGAAAATCTGGAAGGCCAAATCCTGGCCTTATCCTCATCTGCTCCATGTTAAAAAAAACACGTCTTCATACCCTTTTTTTTTTTTTATTTCTCTTTTTTCTAATTAAATTTGAGGTGTGATCAAGTGCTTCGCGTTGCAATCACTTGGGGAAGCCTATTGAACTTTCCTCAAATAGTAGTATCAAAAAATGTTTGGCAGACAAGCATTTCGCAAAAAATGTTAATTTGAACTTTGGAAATTAATGTGATTAACTAATGTTATTAATATCGGAGCCGTTGAATCGAAAATCAAACCATCGAGAAATTGAGCTACTCAATTTGTCTTTTGATATTCATTATAACATTTTTCTTTTGTTGTCATAAATCATAATAACTTTAAGAGAAGAAGATATTGTCTTATTCAATGGACATTCAACAAATCAAAATGCAAGGATTTATTGTATTATTTATGCAGATGACTTATATTAATGTAAAAAATATGTGGACAGGAATTGAAACCAATACTTTACTATGGGCAACAATTGGAGCCACGACTTTTTCTTAGGGTTGTTTGATTTTCCAATCGATTATCTTTTGACTCTGCATGTTATCAGTTTAAAAAGTTGCTGTAGCTATAAAATACTTTTTGACTTATCGCAAGATTGCACAGAGTGGTTAATGCTATAATCCAGGCTTAATAAACAAACTAAATATATTATTTTTAGGACTTGTTACTTTCACATCAATATCAAATTATTTATTTAATTAAAAAATTATAACTATTAAATATAAATGAGATTAATGATAAAGATTGAAAGTATAATTTACTTTGATGTAAAATAATTCTGACCTATTATTCTTTTATAGTTAATTACAATATAATTAAATTCACACTTATCATTAAGTCTGTAAGAATATTGAAGAACTGAGTAATTGACTTAATTATAAAATCACTTGAATTAGGTGCATATAAAATATATAATAAATATAATAATTAAAGTATTATAATAAATATACAACCTTGAATCAATATTTAATGAAAATGAATTCTCTTAAGTCAAAAAAAAAAAATGACATGATCATGTGAGAAAATCACAATAATATAAAGGTTAATCAATGATTATAATTTTGTAATTATCTATTTTAATATATTTTTATTTTTTTTCTTTTATTATCATTGATTTATTTTTATATAATTATAATTTTTAACATGATCTATTTATATTTTTTTTAAATATGAGAGAGGATGATATCCGATTACATTAGATATAAGTAGAGGTGGCAAAGTGGGCGGCTCACCCCGCCCCGCCATCAACTCGTCAAAAAATGAGTCAGCCTGTCCCGTCCCGCTTTTGAAAGTGGACTGAAAAACTCAGCCCGCCCCGTCCCGTTTGGCGTGTTGGTCTGTCAGCCCAAGCCTATTTTACACTGACCCGCCTCGGTCCGTCTATGCCCGTCATCAACCCGCCAAAAAATGAGCATGCCCCACCCGCCTCACTTTTCAGATGGGTTAAAAAACTCAGCCCGCCGAACCGAGTCCGTTTTGCTAGCTCTAGATATAAGTAAGAGGAGGAGGAGTGCGTGCGTGCGTTAGAATAGAATAAGTGAGAGCATGAGAGTTATTGTGGGAAGGAGAGTACGTAGGTGATCTTTGCATGAAAAGGATCATGCGAATTAGGAATGGGATATACGGAATGTCGCTGCAATGCAGTGAAATTAATGGTCCCGTTCCGAGCCTACCCATAACCACATGACGACAATTTGAGGAATATGAAAGGTAGTTAAATGGTTTTTAAAACTAAATAAATTTTTAACCCAAATATTTTTTAAAAAAAAAAACTTTAAAGATAATAAGTGATATCTCAAACAATATATTATATTAAGAGAAATAATATTTCTGATTTTTCTGTATTAAATTTTATATTAAAATATAGAAAATGAAAATAATTAATTTAAAGTAAATGATCAAAATGAATTTATCTACTTATATAAAATTAAATAATTAAAATTCGTGTTCTCATATGGATGTGATAGCTCCCGGCGATCAATCAAAAGTTTGAGAAAACTATCTCTTTACTGTACAACTACATCTGTGTTTAAACAAGTCATACAAGCATATGGTCATATGCATGAAGTCTACAAAATAAATAAGCAAATACCCATAAACATTTGTTTCCATATTTTTAAGTATGTTGAACTAATTAAATTTTAGGACTTAACTTTTATATACTTTTAATTCAAAGTTTAATTATATTATTATATAAACATATTAAAAAAATAATTTTATTAATTTCATGTTAAAGAAGATAAATTTGTGGGCTCTGCCATCTGAAAAATAAAAAGAAAATAAAAGAAAAAGGTGGCACAGTTATCGAAGAATGTGTAAGAGAGAAAGTTATTATATGTAGCATGAGAGTAATTTTTTCCTTAAAAAAATTATTCCAATATCACAATTAATATATGAAGAAAATATTTTTAAATTATATGTCAACGTATTTTTAGAGGACAATATAAAAAAATGCATATTAATAATAAATTAATATAAACGATAACGATGTTAATTTTGTCTAAGTTATGTTATGTTATTTGAATTGAACTTAACAGTATGCATTTATATTGTGTCGTCTTATATTTTTATTGATTCAGTGAAATATTTTTAGAGTTTAATTTTCAATAAAAATTTACACTATTATTTAATGATATAATGGCATAATATTTAATGAATTTAACTGTACATAATTTGTTAAAAAAAAATTAATAATACGACACGTCGTTAGATAGTATTATAAAATTTGTTTACGCTAAGAGAATATATAAATTAAAAAGGGCAAACTGCGGTGTAAAGGTTCCACAATATAGAGATTATATAGATTAAATTATTTTAAATATGAGTTTAGTGTTTGTCATTTTAAAGAACGTAAAATTATGTTATTTTAAGTAAGAAAAAGATATAAATAATAAAAATTATGGAAGAGAAAGTTAGTATTTTTTTAAAAAATTTAAATAAAAAATACTAAATTATTTCTTTCTCTTTTAAAATGACATATTTTCCCTTTAAATATATATGCAACAATATTCTTATTATTGCTATGCTTTGCACAATCAGCGTATTCGTTTGTGTATGCATCAACATGCAAGTATGTACGTATACATGGGTATAAAAACAGTATCGCGTAATGTGGTGCATTGGATGCGGTTACGTGGATAAGAACCTTCGGAAGATAATGAAGGTGAAGCTTATCCAAAACGGGTAAAGGTGGGACCCATTATGGGAAATGAAGAATAAAGCTCAACGGCTATCTTAGTATAAAGTATAAACATGTGTTTTGTGTAACTGTTGCTCCCTCTTTTCAATCATCCTTCATGTATTGTCGCGTGTCTCCCTTCCACACCGCCCATTATCTTGTCTCCTTAACAATACATGCATGCTAAAACGACATCGTTCACTTCGATATCAACTTAATCAAACTGTGTTTTTAAGTCATTATAGATTTTAGGTTTTTAAAGTTTATTTTTGAGTCTAATATTCGTTTTATTAATTATCGTTTATGTTTTGTAAAAAAAAATTAAAAAACAGAAAGAGAGAAGTTGAGAGTATTGACATTTCCACCTACTCGAACTTATCGCATTACACGTGTTCACCATCACGTGGTTGAGAGTCACCATCAGGCTATCAGCTACCACCTTTCCTTTTGTTGGTTGTTAGCCTACTCGCAAGTCGCAACCCTTCAACCCTAATAGGATAACCGTGGGCAACACCAAAAATGCAACCCAAACATTAAATTCAAAAATAGTAAATAATGCGGTTGGTGTCTAAATCCAATCCACCTATGTCACATGATTGCATCAATTAGGCAGCAAAATCTTACAATATCATGTCAGGAAAATATAGTTTCGATTTTTTCAACTGTGGTCCGTGGGTTTGATAATTGATATATATCAAATCATCAAAAATAGTAAAATGTTTGGATATCAATCCCTAAAAGTTTTTTTTTTTTCGTATAACTTGGTCTCGGTATTTCTTCCTTAAAAAAACCGTATTATTTTTTTTATAAATTATAAATATTTTTTACGAAAGACAATTTTATTCAGAGCGGATCACAATTAAAGCTTTAAACATCTCTTAAAAATAGTATTAGAGAGAATCGAACATATACTCTTACCCCACCTACTCAGCTCTTATACGATAACTAAACTACTATCATTTGATAAAATCATATTATTTTTAAATGGGAACGATTATATTTATTACTATTTTAAACTTATTATTTTTATTACTTGATTAGTCATCATTGAATTAATTTTAAATAAGTGATAATTAATGATCATAAATATAACCTTCTCTTTATAAATATACGTAAATTTAAAAAAGGTAACATTACACCTATGTTTTAGGCGTCAATTAATGTAACTGAGAATTTAAAACGTGGAAAATTAGTACAAGTGATAAGGTTTGGGAGGACCATGAAGGCATGAACCGCGAAGAGGATAGAGTTTAGAATAGTTGGATGCCCTACTTCTGCCTATTTATGAAAGCAAATAATGCGGATTGATACAATTAATGATTATTTAGATTTATGCCACCTGTGCGATTTTTCATTTTCAAGATTCCTGTTGTTACCTTTTATTATGATAGTATCAATTCTCCATTTATCTGTCCTTTTCCGAAAATATATTTGAGGAAATCATTTTTTGAGATTTCTGTTGTTATCTGTTATTATGTTGGGTTTTATAAGAGTTATGTTATAGGAAAAGTGATTGTGTAATGTTATAGAGATTCGTTTTGCGTGCCGTAATTTCTTCTTTTTTTTGTCTTTTTTTTTCTTCAAAAAGTGTGGATCCCACAAAATCTTGTGTGTATAGGAAAGTTTGTTATGTCATGTTAAATGACAAACGCAAACCCCCTATGCTAATATAAAATTTTCTTTCATTTGTCTTTCTTTTCAAAAAAAAAAATTTCTTTTACTTTAAGAGAAATTAAATAAGCTTCAAAAGTCTTCGTAAAAAAAAAAAAAAACTCAAACGAGAGAAAGCATCTAAAAAATTTAAACAATAAAAACTGGAAGCAACTCTCCTTATTCCATTAATTTCCATTAATTCCTCTTACAATTTTATTTTAGAATCAGATTGATTATTTGGATACTCTGTGTTTTGTCTTACTGACAGGTCTTTTCCCCTCGCTTATAAACCTTTATGCGAGTTTCACGAGCTATATGAAAGATAAGGATGGGAACATGATATCTTCTGATATAGTCGTGTGAAGGAAATTTAGTATAAAAAGGGATCCATTCAATCCTTATACTTATTTAAAAACAACTTAATAATAAAATGTTATCAAACATTATTTTTAAAGCTAAAATGAAGTTAGGAAAAGCATACATCATGGTTCATAAGTTACCTATAATCATATATACCCATACTCAGCAGGTGGCAAGATAAGGCACACAACCTAATTAATCATATATGCCAAATTATAAACACCAACCCACTAAGCATGTAAATCTTGATCCATTACATTATCTATATACTAAACGTTGGGGTTAACATGAGAATTAACGCATAGATGCAAGCCTTGCTAGAGCTCCAGTTGCTAGGGAATTGACGTAAGTGCAAGGTTCAGTCTTGGGTGAATCCCAACGTTTATCGTTGAACTTGTCATAGCGGTCAGGTCCACCAACAATGGCACCAGTGAGCTCATTGGGATTAGGTTCATCTTTTTGAAACCATTTGGTGAAGCTCAAGGAACAGCTGACTTCTTCATCCTTTGGCAACTTCGGCACGGAAGCACCTCTATGATGAGCTTGCGTTGGTGGGTTTTTACCAAATCCTACCATATAGGATCTTCCTTCCGGGTTTTTCCCTAGTATATAGTCCATCTGTGCAAATTTGACAATCCAATTAATCAATTATTTATTAGTCTATTCCTATTGTTTGTTTGTTTGTTCTCAACATATAATTAAGTAATGCATGTATGTATATAATATAGTGTATATACTAACTTGTTTCTTAGCAAAAGAAAGGAGATGGGATGAGCCAAATTGTTTGTTTCCGCAAGTGATTTTCTGTTTATATTTGGCAAGCAAATCACCATATACACTAAACAAGTAAGCTGTGCCGGTTGCATACTGCGTGTTGGCTCCATCTCTCAAATGAATGAAGCCGCCTGCAAAATGATATATATTAGAGAATAATATAAATCATTAAAAAAGTTCTTACTCAATACTTTAAGGTTTTGGGTTAAAGTGATTTTTAATATGGTATCAGAGTCCAAAAGGCTATTGCGTGAGAGGTGAGTGTGTGCATTGTCCACCCTTCAAGCCTAAAGGGCTATTGCGTGAAAGGTGTGTTGGAGAATAATATAAATCATTAAAAAAACTCTTACTTAACATCTTTAAGATTTTGGGTTGAAATGATGTTTAACAATAATAATTATATTGTAAAGATGACCACATAAAGATACAGCACACAGAGAGAGAAGGAAGAGAAAGAGAGAGTATTAACCAGGAGACAAGTTAATCTGGTTGTAGGGACTATCAGGAAGTACAGAGCATATGAAACTTTCTCCGTGGCTTTTGAATGTTTCCAGATTCTTTACACCTTCAAAATGTAACTGTGCAACATATATCATTTGTTAGGAGTTAGCTAGGAAGCAAATACAAAAACACAAATATATGAAAAAGAGTAATGATGGAAAACCAAACCTGCGTGAGAAGGATTTGAGCTCCTGCATATTTAAGGTCCCAACTGAATTCTGCTACACTAGCACTTATGACATCTTCTTGTATGTACTTCATATACATAGATTGTCTCGTAGCAATGTATAGCCACGTTGCAGCCCACATCAGTTCATCCTGCAGTTGACATTCCATACATTAAGAAAACTTAGTTAATTAGGAAACTAATTAAGATTCACACTTCCGAGATAAAAAAAAAAATGGTTATAAGAGTAATTAATTACATTATAGCCAGAATAGGAGCAATAGAAGGGACACTCTCCATCGTAGGTTCCTTTATGAGATTTTGCCATTTGGAAAAGCTACAATGAAAGTGGAAGAAAAATTCAAGTTATCAAATTTCCATGCACCCAAAAAATAATTAAAAGTATTTTTTTTTTATGTATGTAGGTAAATGTACCAATTTGGCTTTGTTAAGGAGACGACGAGCATATTTACGATCCTTATGTCTAAAAACAATAGAAGAAGCAGCCATTGCTGCTGCAGTTTCAGCTGCAATCTCAGTCCCGGCTGTGTTACTATCAATCTTCTTAACCGTTCTTTTTGTCTTCATGTTTTCTGGTCGAATCCAACAATGGTGATCCTCTTCTGGGTCCCCTACCTATATATTACAATGTTTTTTGTTTTATTTATAAACAAAATAGAAAGAAATGAATGAAGCATATTATTATTACTACAAGATTGGGATTGGCCATAGTGCCCTCACCTCAACATATAATCTTTTATGTCGAGAACTAGCTTTCAAAAAATAATCGGTACCCCATTGAATGGCATCACGAACATTTCCCATTTCATTTGCAGCTTCTAATTCTGACTTGTAAAATATGGCAGCCCATGCTAAAGTAGTAACAGTGAAAGCCATGGGAAGCCCATATTTTACATTATCCCCTGCATCGTAGTATCCCCCAACAAGGTCCACCTAATATAATTAACATATATGAAATATGAGCCCAAATTATTGCTTCTTTTTTTTATTTTTTTGTGTTTTTGTTTCAAAAAATAGGCATTAAAAAAACAAGAAAGAAACATATACATTAGCGAGTTTTCCATCATCGAGTGCTGAGTCTCCTCTCCAAGGTACCCTGTTGTTTGAAGGGAGCTTCCCTGATCGTTGTGCTTCTAGGAAAATAATGGACTTTGTGAGTGCCTCCTTATAATTAAAATCACCCTTAACTAGCATCATATTTCCTTCGAACAAACTAAGCCATGCTACAATGATGGCCCAATATACTCTTTCAGTACCCATGAACCTACTTTTTCTTTTCTTTTTTTCTTTTTTTTGGTAGATTGAACCTAAAAACTTAAAACTACGCAACCCAAAGTGCGATGTTTGTAAGATGCAGCTCGGGATTTGAGAGTTTATAGAGAAATGTATAGAATCGGTTACGTTGATGGTTGAAAAGTTGTTTTGCTTGTCTCCCCAAGGAACCAAGAAGTAGTAACAACTGCTTAGGTTTCGGTGTTTGGTTTTTTCCTTTGTGTTTGTGATGGCGGGAAGTGTGAGGGAAATTAAAGCCTTTGTTTTGCGTAGAGATTTCACGACCTCCATTTTCAACCTAATTTACACATTACTATTCTTATCATGCGGTTGTAACACTGTTTGTTACCACCTTACCAAAAATGTGGAAGGAAACCAAAGATGAAATTGGCAAATGAGCATGCACCTCATATATTTTTTTTTTTTTATAACAGCATGCACCTCATATTTAACCTCTGTTATTTTAATTCAACAATAATCAACAGACAAAACGATCTTTCCTAGTGAACGGTCCTTAGATCAATGTAATTATTCAGCAGCATTTGATTCAGACTCGTTACCTAATATTAGGCTGATTAAGCTTTGGTTGTAATTGACAAATGTTACATTGTTAACCATAGTTACATGCATAGGTTACACAAAATTAAATCTTTTTTTGCCTCCCATCATTAATGCCTTTTTCAATGTCTAGCATCTACATATGACCACCAAATAATCGGTGCATAAAAGCTGAATAGGGAATGAAAACATGTGTTTGATCCTTTTTATTTGATCCTTTTCAGTATTATCTTTGGAAGGAGTTTAAAATCCTTTTTATTTGATCCTTTTTAGTATTATCTTTGGAAGGGGTTTAAAATCATGAATTCACCTCAAACATGATTGCCTCCCATGAAGAATACTGATTTATCAAAAAAAAATCTACATACGACCTTGGTTACTAAATCAGCCTTCACTACATGCAAGCATGGACACCAACACCCAATACCATCGACAAAACCTAATTATTAATGCACATAAATAAAGGATATGAAATAGATCATCGGTGAGTTTCAATTAATAAAAATATAATCACAAAATTATGATGTCATCAGCGAAAACTTCAGCACAAATAAATTTGCCCTCTAAAGACGGATGTGGTTATCAAATATTTGGAAAAGCCTTTCCCTATCCACCCATTCAACAGGATTTACTTGACATAAAATCAACAAAATCGATTTTATAATGTTGTGTATACCTGACCTCTAATATACCCAAAATCTGATAACCAGTTCAATGTAAAAAAATATTTTATCCCTATTAAATATACTGCTGAGTGGTCATAATAAGCCAGCTTCAAAGAGATTCCTCCTCCTCAAGGTCTCGTCAACAAGCTTGAAAGTCTTCTTCACAAGCTTCTGATCAAGGGCAGTGGTTCGATACACCTTGAAGACACGATCAACACGGTCAGGAGCAGTGCTCTGGAAATATAATTCCTCAAACTTTTTCTTCACGAACCTGCAGTTATAGTATATCCAAGATAATTAAATGTCAGGGTTATAAAGACTTAATCATCCAGCACTAGAATCCGATGTTTAGATAAGTGTCAAAATGTAATGTCCGAATTTGGAATGTTTCCATTAGTCAGAATCAACTACTTTGCCATAAGCAACACCCTTTATTCTATGTCCCAAGGTATAAAGAAGTTGCTCACTCGTATGCATGCTCAATCTCTTGTTTCCCTGTTGAAACTGGTTGGTAATCTTTAAACCACTCACATACATTGAGTGGGACCTGCATAATGCAAGATATCAGATTGAAATGATAATGGACTCCACCAAAGACAAAGTGTACATGTCCGAATAGTTCTTACTCTCAGGATCTTCTTCTCAAATATGTCAAACTTGTTTAAAAATAACATGAAGGATGTTTTCTGTCCAGAAAAGAGAAGGGCATCATTATTCACTGATATAGATACAATACAAATGTTAATTGCCGAAATAGTATAAAGCTCTCAACACAAATGCCATATAAAGGAAACAAAGAAATAGTTAACATAAGAATTTCCCACATTAATATAAATGTTAAAATTTAAAAAGAACATAAAAGGAAACCTCAAAACATGGTTGCTTCAGGACCCACTCAAAAAGCTCCTTAGTTTCCATCATTCTGTTCTTGTTTTCATCCTCAAAAAGCGTTTGATCATACCTGGAAGACAAATTTAAAGTCAAGACTTTACTTTTACAAATCCCAAAATTGTAATGTTCTTGCAAGCAAGACTGAAAGGATAGGTGAATAACTGTCTACTCAAAGTCTAACCCTGCAGAAAATATTTATTGCCAATAAAATACACACCAACATTTTTTTAATATTAGTAACTAACACCAAACATGCACAGCAACAGGACTAGAATGAGCTTACCTTTCACTCCACTTTTGAGTAAAATACGCTTTTGTTAATTGGCAAGTATTTTAAAGTGTCAAAGTAATATCAAATAGAGAGTGTTTGATTTAATTTGGTGTGCAACACAATCGAAACAGATATACAGACAAGAAATTATGATTTGTTTTTAAATTATAAGCCATATTAAGATATGCAATATAATGGCAGGCCATACTCGCTAATTGCAGCACAGAATATTACAGCTGTAACTCCTTCAAAAAGATGGATCCATTTTCTTCTCTCATTTCTCTGGCCACCAACATCAAAGAGTCTATAGACTTCGCCACTTCGCTTATTTTCTCCAACAGGGCTGTCAAGATAGTAAAAACATACTTATCAGGTTGGTATGCAGTGAAACAGTAAAAATATTGAGTGACAGGAGCAAACACTGCTTCAAGTAATGCAGGTGGCTTAATATACACAATCGCACACAATAAAAAAAGTACGATTTGTCCTTTCTTCCAGAATAGATGGCAAAGATAATTTGGAAAAGCATGTCAAAAAAATGGTAAGCATATGCAACAAATTTTAGGTTGCTTTTAACTATTTAGAATATGTGAGAAGGGCAGAAGGCGGAGATGGTTGACAGGCAGAGAGGATAATAACAGATGTTAGATGAAAATATAACCATTGAGTAACAAAAACCAATTACAGCACTTAAATGTGAGGACAAAGCAAGGATGAAAACAAGCAGATAAATATGAAAAGATACGACAAGTACAGCATCATTTTAAACCTCAAGCCACAAATAAGGGTCATTAATTACAACCAAGGCAATGTCCCTCAGTAAATGCACAATCCTAGTTTCCTATGTCCCCTATAGAGGCTGTTGAGAAATTAAAATATAAAGAGTAAGACAATAATAAATAATGCAGTTGTTCAATACTACATTAACAAATTAGCTTTCCGTTGCCAATTAACCTTTTCAACTGGCAACACTCTTTTCCCTCCTAAAATATAATAAAGAAAATGTCATATATGCCTCCATTCTAAATTGGTTAAGAACGAACATATGAGTAGCACCAATTGCTACAACAAAATCTTTTGATACAGCATCATGAACAGAAGAACAGAAGGACAAAATGGTGACAGTAATAAGCATGTCTCTGTATAATTTCAGTACAACAAATCATGTGAGCTCAGCATGTTCACCTGAACTGGATCTCCACAACGCCAGTTGTGCGAACTCTTGTATACAAAACATCCTCCTGTAGTTGTAAAGTAGAGTGAGAAATGTTAAGAGATTCATAACTTCATATCACCTTCAAATTTGAGGGTCCATAAATGAAAACAGAAGCAAAAATGCAGCGGACGATCTTCCAACGTAAGCTGTATTTGTGTGCTGACTTAGAACCAGGTATCTTTCACAGCATATATGCTTGTCAGTTCTAGAAGATAAGTTGATGCATGGATAAATAGAAGTTATGCACAATAAGCCATTCAGGACATAATGATGTACCGATAATTGCTTTTGCGATCAAGAATGCTTCTGCATTTGATCACTTAATCTTTTTTTTATCACAAAACTAACACCATGACAAACTTAGTAAATAGTAATTACTTTTTCAAACTTTATTTTTCACTTTTTGATGATTAGTAACAAAATAGAAGTGCCATAGGTTGTAACCCGTGCATGTGGAACCCTCACACTTGAAACATTTAGAAAATCCAAAACACTACTACACCCACCAACAAGAATTCAGTTTTGTAATATACAGAGAACAGATAAAACAGGAATTATGAGTTAGATTTGGTATCTTTGTAAACAACGAAAGAATAATAGATTCTGAATACCTTTGTTGGAACATAATTCGCATCAGACAGCCTCTGCAAATTTTCCATGAAATAATGGGCACAATCTGGAACTTGGAGTTCATTACCACGGGCATATGTTTCCTACAACAAGTAAAATGTGTGGGACATACATACTAAGTAACTGATGACAAAAATTAACAATGTATATGGATTAAGGTAAAGCAATCAAAGGGTTCACTGGCCACCTGGATTGCAGCATCCTCCCACAGAGTCTCTATTTCCTGTGCGAGCTCATTGGTGAGATGTGGGTAATCCAGCCTGCCTCCAATTTCTGCAAGTTTTTCACCAATATTCTGCCAGAAAAATTAAGCTCTATTTGAATTAAAAAGACTTTGACATATAACTTGGACAAAGCAACAAATCCCTCCAGAAGAAAAAAGCCTGTATACAATTGATTATTGTATAGTTCCATAATAAAATTCAGTAACAACATACCACACCATAAACCACTCAACTAGTGTAACAAACCATATTAAAGGTGGTAATAGTCAACTACCTTGTTTTCATTGGATATAACATACTTTGAAGAATCAAGATCATTCTGAGCCAACTCCTTTGACCCATCATGCAGTACCTGTTTAAACACATCAAGTACGAACTAAGGATTACAGTTTTCTCAGTCAAATCTATTAAACTCAACTCACATAAAACATTTTTTTTTTCAAACTATAGACAGTGGACACTGTAAAATCTATGTATTTTTAAGAGAAAAATAATCAACACACCCTTTCAAGTATTGCGTACTTTTATTGTCTGATACACGTTAGCGTGAATGACTGGTATGTAACTTTTTAGCTCAGCCTCGTCAAAGCCAGTTTGAAACAAAAGTTTTATCTGCATATTATAAGCAAATAAATAAATGTCAATAATCTATCAAACATATACTGTCATCAGAAGTTAAGAAAATGCATTTTCGTACCTGCTTAAAGATTGTAGACTTCCCTGACTCTCCAGCACCTAAACAACAGAGACATTGACGCATTTATTCAAATAAGTCCCGGAAAAAAATAAATATTAAAAGTCAACAGGCTATTAAGAGATTGTGGCATGTATGATTCCTTTAAACTCTGGGGAGCATAACCACTTATGCAATGCTAAATTACAAGTACTTCCATAAATTGCTCAAAGGTGGCTAGTATTAACTTTAAAAAACTATATGTGAAATATAAACTACAAGATATAAAGGAAAGCAGCCCCAAGTAAAACATACCTAGTAGTAGAAGTTTCTGAATATGCTTTTCAGCCTTTGTTTCTAACTCTATTCTTCTTTCAATTTCTGCAGCCTGCAAAAGCATGTCAATTTATCAAATCAAAGCCCATTTATTAACAAGTATGTGACTTATTAAGCACAATGGACCTGTGCATTTTCTTAACAAGTATGTGATTATATGTAACTTAACAAGTATGCAATTTATTAAGCACAATGGACCTGTGCATTTTCTTCAGCATCAGCATCATTATAACGATGATTTCTGCTGCAGAGTAAGCCCATTTTCTCTGTTACAAAAGACAGCATAGAAGATGCACTAGTCAAGCTCCACCAGAAATCAGTGTTTCAATGCCCTTCTCTAATGCATACATGCATTAGTGGGCTTGAGTTCACCTAACAAGATAACTAGGGCAGTGTCAGGAGCAAACAGAGACAAGCAGGTCATCCCTCGCAAAGAAATATCTTAAGTCAATTCATAAGCAGATATTTCATACAACTTGCAATAGCATATGACACTCAATAAATCAAAAGAGACTCAACGGTACAGCTGGATAGCAGGAGTAGGTTGAACAAATCTGCATTGACACTTTAGCCAAAATAGTTTCCACATCAGATCTGAAGTTCAGGATAACTCCCAATAAGTAATTTAGTTAAAATGCTAGATTGAACAAACATTGAAAATATTATATTCTTTATATGTGATGAACTATTTGGTGATAACATACGAACTAAGTATGACTGACTCGATGGTCCAAGGCATAAAATGTGCCTAGAGTTCCGGTACCTACTAGGCTACTACCTAAACTTGAATACTTTTATTGTTAAGAATGGTACAGGGAGCCCAAAACCCTTACAAGGGATTTTTTCACTAATGTGCCTAAACGACAAATCATAATAACTGATCTCACACCACGTCTCAAATCAAAATTTTAAGGCGGTCTTTTCACACTTGTTCTCACTTGGTCTATGTGAAACTTCACACCACTACTCACTTGATATTTCCAACATTTATTTATGTAATTGTTTGAAGACTTTTTTGTGACATACCTACAACTTGAACTTCACCATAAGGTTAAACCCCATCAGCAGATGTGTGTTTTTTTTTTTTTTTTTTTTGTGGGGGGGGGGGGGGGGGGGGGTTCGAAGTTCAGGATAGTTATGAGGATAATTATAAGCAGAATCATAAGTTATCAATTCGTTTGAGGAAAATATGCTCCTTGTTATTTTAATTTATTTTTCACCTCATCATTTCAAGCTTTTAATGATGATTCCCTCCGCAAGAACCAAGAAATTTTAGCAGTTGAAGTACTATGAAAAGCACGAGCATGCAAAGTACAATCAGCCCATGAAAGTTTACACCAGAAAGAGAATATAATCGAAAATGATACAGAATTCGAATGTAAAAAATCATACAAAAAGTGAAAGAAAAAGGAGAATATGTTAGCATCTCGATCTGCATATGCAACACCAAATACAGAGATCTCCTGGGCAAAAATTCAACCTCCGTAAATTATTAATGAAAAGAAAAGGATGTTGAGAGAGAGAGAGATTAAGAATGCAACAGAAGAAAGAGTTGGTACCTGAAAAGAAGCAAAAGGGTCTCTTTTGCAAAGGTGTGAAGCTGGAATATGCTCCTAAATTTGGCGGATTCGTGAACTGTAAATTGTGAAGTCACTGAAGTGAAACTAGAAAGCAGGTTCAGTTGTGTTTTTTCTTTGAAGAGAAAGATATACTATTCAAGTTCTACTCATGTACTAGTAAAATAATGTTGTTATAGTTTAAGGTAGTAATGGATTATAAAAATTATTATAATATAATTGGATTTGGAGGTATGTGGGTAGCAATGCCGTAACGTGTAGACATAGAGAAAGATATGCATACTACATATATATATGAATGAAATATTAATGGGAGAGAAATTAAAGAAAGTAGGGATCTCTGAGGAGGGAAGGATAACAGAGATTAAAAAAAAAGAGCGCCGAAAGCTAGTGAGGCATCTTGCTTCCTGCACTGCACCCTTCCATTGGGTCAAAGTTTAGTTTTAGAAAAGACATAGTAGCCAGCCACAGTCACGACAATAGCACTTTTTTATGTATATATGTCTTCTTGGAAAAATACACACTGTCTGTATGCACGACCATGTACAACACTGCTCCTCACAACTCACTCCACTGTACTCTTTTTCTCTCTCTCCCACTGCCATTCTCGACTTCAACACCTTAAAACATGGCAAGCTACATTACATATTTGATACGCATCCATTTCATTATGTTTATTTTATTTTCAGTCATCAAAAATATCCATCATGAAAATTTAAAATAATTTTTTCCAACCTTGGGAAAAAATTACAATTATTATATAATGCTGATTCATTGGATTCTTAGTCTAAAAGTTGCATCACTAATTTGAATGAAGCCTAACACTAAATGACATTTTGTGCCATGAATAATTTAGTTAATTAGTAAGGGAGGAAATTTTGCAATATGCCAGTATGAACACGAGGAAAAAGACAGAGTCAAATGTAGCACAAATTCATATTCAGAAAACAAAGAAAAACAAGAATCCAAAAGAGAGAGAGGAATTGTGATTCCATGGGCAGTGCAAAGAGACAGAAAAGGACACAATTCCGTGCGTATAGATGCAAGTTGCTAGTTGGCATTTGACAGTTGAGTTGCTATTCCCTGACTACTTCACCTGAGCCTTCGTCCTTCCAACATACTCCCTCCGCGTGACTCTATCTAAATTGCCAATTACAAATCTCGTTTTTCCCCTTCTTTTTAAAAAATACAACGTCCTAGCTATATTCTAAAATATTTTTAATTATTTTGGTTCATTAAATATTAATTTAATCTCTTAATACTATAAAATATAATTAATTTAGTCTTATAATCATATAAAGTAATATTAAGTCGGTTCAAAAATTAAGTTCTTGCTATAATCATGTTTTTCAACCTAATGAACAGTTCGAAATTCGAATGTACCATCACAAAACAGAACAGAAAAAAAAGATGTACGACTTCAAACTTGGAATAGTAAAGACAAAAATCTAATTTTGGTGGCACGCGTTCGTTGATGGCTCGACCCATGTTGGCTTTTACCCAAACGTTAAAAAGAAAGCGATCAAGCTACAGAACCAACGAGGACACTTGTCACTGCTGGCAAAATAGGCCGAGCCCGCTGGAGCAGAGCGAATTTTCCAAATCCGCTGTCCGCCAAACCCGCCCTGCCAAGTCCGTCAGTCCGCTCGGACTGATTTTTTTTATTTTTATTTTTTTAGTGTAAAATGTGACGGGCTTGGCAGTCAGCCCGTCCCGTCCGCCCAAACGAGACGAGACAAGCTGAGATATCTAGCCCACCTTCAATGGCGGGACAAGACGAATCAGCCCGCTTTTTGACGGGCTGAGGCAGAACAGGACGCGGAACAGGACGGACAGCCCGTTTTGCCACCTGATTCGGCATCCATCCATAACTGAGCCAAATCAAAATTTCTTTACACAACCAAAGCGTAATGGCTGTACGTTAGGTTTTGCTGGCCTCTTAGTAGAATAATCAATTAATATACTTATACTAGATGAAAAAGTATCGTGTAATGTCCATAAACTGAAGATAATAATAGAAAAAAATATAAGGAAAAAAAGTTCACTAGCAATCCAGCGTAATTGCTAAAGAAAGGGAATGTTACTGCACATTCCACGGAATAGTGTTTGAACTTCAATCGCCACTTTATCAAACATTTCATAAGTCAGCATGATGCATTCTGTAAATAACTTTTCGATCTCGAAAATTCGAAACATGACATTATAAATTATATTTAATTGTTAATGAAAGCTAATTATTGTTTGATTGTCTGAAGAAGAAGAATAATAGTTTCACCAAAAATGAAAAAGAAAACTGATATATACGAAATATGCTCTTAATGCATATAGCAGCACTGATAAAAAAAAATGTTCAAGAACTTGAGCGCAAGAAATTTAGGACAATGTTGTTGAATTCTCCAGGCTTTTCAATTTGAGGTACATGGGATGCCTCCTTTATGAATTCCAATCTTGCCTTCTTACTGATTACCCTGCAATACGTTAATTAGAAGGCAACAAATCATGTTAGTCACACCGACATGGCTTTATATCAGTCCCCAAAAGAATATGACCTCACAGTCCTCCCCTTTTAACAGTGTAGTCCTTTACTTACTAATAAATACCATTAGCTCAATCATAGAAGATGTCAAGGGTTGAGTTGAAAACAAAAATTAAAAAAAATAAAATTAGAAGCATTTATATGTTTTTAGGATTTGGAATATAGAAGAAAAAGATCATAATTAAAAACAAAAAAATCAAGGCACAAACAAATTATGTAACAGGGTGGTAAGATATAGAAACAGTTGGATACATACTCTTTCAGTTCTTTGGCTATCTGCACGGGAAATACCTGGTCATTTTCACCCCAGATTACGAGAACCTCCTGAGTAAGACAAAAACGAATCAGCCATAGTAACGATCGAATATCATTTTTTGTTTTCTACTATAAATAAAGGTATAGGTTTAAGTATGAGTTTATGCAGATAGATACAATACAACACTATTCCTACCTGTTTAAGAGGTGAAATGTCCGGAGAATCCTCCCTTCCGAGGGATAACCCAACTAGAAGCTCCATTTTTTCCTTCCTATTTTCTGAGTATAATTTCTGCAAAATCATAAAACTACTGTGTCATTAAGGAAATATATATATACTTCTATACTCTTTTGATTTTCATAAGAATTGTCGTATCCCGCACATTCACAGCAGCAGTTTGAATATCAGTATTGGCAAGTCCATGGAATAAAGTAGACAACAAAAAATTAATTAAGCATAATATAAACAACCAATTCAACAAAAAAAACGTGAGGCTACATTAATAATTTTATATTACTTTAACACACCCTCACTTAACACATGATCACTACATTAACAAATTTCACAGTACTTAATTATTTATATTAATAAAAACAGTGAGGATCAAACATAATATGACTACCTAGTCATGTTCGCTTCATATAATTCAACCCAAAACATATAATTCAACCCAAACACTACACTAATAGTTTTAAACTTCTCTAATAACACATAATCATTATATGGGAAAAGTTAAACACCACACACTTAAATCATTTTAAGAGAGAGATAAACACAAAAAGATGGACCCACATCTTTATTTCATATTTATTTATTAGACTTTAAAATAACACACATTTTTCACTCATTATATATACTCAAACCAACCATTTGATCTATGTAGCACCGATACCGATACAAGACATGTGACACGACACTCCGACACGTTAATTCTAAAAAATGTTAGATTTCGACACGTTAGGACACGTTTTGATATTAAATAATATTTTTAATTTATATAGTGTATATTATATTTAATATTCAATAATTTAACAAAAAATGAAACTAAAGTTATAATATTCATCAATTTCGCAAAGAAACATAAGATATCCCAAATATTTATATTAAACTCAATAAAATAGTAATCGTAATTCAACGAATCTAATAGTTAGAACTAACAACTCAACTCGACGCAATCTTTGAACCTTTTTTTGAATTTCTATAATGCGTGTTGGAGTGTCGGAAATGCCGAACACGACGCGTCATTTTTGAAGTGTCGGTGCTTCGTAGCATTTGATAACACGCCCACGCACATACGGGAACCATGACATAAAAATAAAATATACATATTCTTGAAGAATTACCTTTAAGATGGATTAATATTGCCCACCTAAAAATTAATTACACCTAGAAAATCTAATATGTATACTGAATATTATAGTATTATCTCCGCCGATTGGTCTTTATCAGAGACCTAACACTTAAATGTATTCAACCACTGAGGTAAATAACGTAGAAAGCCTATACGGAATTCAGGGAATGAAAAAACGGAAAAAGTAAATAAGAAAGAGAAGAATGCATTGCAAGTCTTACTATATTTCTAAAGAAAACTATCACTTTAATTTATTCCTCGAGATCTTACTATTGGAAGAAGATGGTGCAGAAAATTATCAAAACTCCTTAAGCTAAAAACGCAGAAATTAACGCCTGTTTGAATGGCTACCATTTTTACTACTTAATTAATACCACTAATCTAATAAGAACAGAAAAAAAAAAAAAGATGAACTTACATTTAAGAAGTCTTTCAAGAAAAAATCTGGCACCATAGTGGGGGGCGGCTTGGAAATAGACAAGGACATCAATTTGCGCAAATGTCCTGGCGTAGAAGGCAACATGAGATCCTCAATCTTGTCCAATTCAGCTCTCTGCAACAAAGCCACGTTGTGATTCTTTTTCATGTTAACACCAGAACTCGCAATCACCACTTTCTCAACCCTCTCTTCCCCGAAATTCTTCGCCAAATGGTAAGCCACGAACCCACCATAGCTCGTCCCAACCACGTGGAACCTCTTCACTTCTAACTTGTCAAGCAGTTTCCCCACACACGCAGCCTGAAACGTTTCGCTTCTCTCTTTCGATTTCGTTGTCGATTCCCCGAAGAATATTAGGTCAGGAACGTACAAGTTGAAGTGAGGAGCCAAGAATTGAACTTGCTGACGCCATTGCCAGATAGCCGAAGGACCAAACCCGTGAATCAGAACCAGGGAAGGTTTCTGGTTCGGGTTTGTTTCATTTCTCGGTTTCGGTTCGGGACCCCAGAAATGAACGGTGGTTTCATCATCGACGTTAATGATCTGCGACGAGAGTCCCGCCGCCGCGAAGCAGCGGCGGAGGTAGCCGTTGTATAGGGAGGCGATGCTCAGAAAGGACGGAAGCATGATGTTGATTGGTCGGTTCTGGCAAACCTGAGAATATGTATATACTTGAGGTTAGTTTATTGGGCCATCGGATAAGAAGATTCCAGAAATCAGGAGAAAATGTTGATCTGTTTTGAACAGTGATTTTCTGAAAGATACAAAGACTGTTCTGGGAAAAAAAAAAAATAGTGTTCCCCTCATAGGTATAACAGACCAATAAGAATATGCCACGTCAACTGATATTTTTTAAAAAACAAGGAAAAATAATATTCCAAAAAATATATAGAAAAAAATGTTTACGCAATTAACGCAGATAAATTATCTGTATTTATTTTCAAAACGACATCGTTTTGGTATTGAAATCTTAAAAAATTAATATAAAGACTATTATAACCCTGAAATAAATTAAAATTATAAAAATACTAAGATTTTCGTCTTAAAACGACGTCGTATTGAATTTAATGCAGACAACTTATCTAAACCAAATATATAATATAAAATCTTCCCTTATACCCTGTGGTCATTACTCATTACCATAGTGCTCTGATGTTTCTGCTGTGTTATATTAAATTTGGGTTGCTATTTTTTTTTTAAACTAATTTGGGTCGCTATTGAATGCAAAGAAAATGAGTTACATAGGAGTTACGTTGACAATGGTTCTTGGTTGCTTTAATTACTCAGGACTATAACATTTTTTAATTGCTTACAACCGTTGGAGTAATTAATTCTATTTAATTCGTTTTCAAAAGAATTTCAATTTATTTTTTATAGGTCCTGTTTCAAGAAAAATAAAGTATCCTAAACCTGACTCGACTACAATAAATATACATTTTTTAATTTTTTATTTAAATATTTTTAAAAAATAAAAATATGTTAACCGATGATTCAGAAAAACTGGTCATGCATATCAAGGTTTGCGGTCTAATAATTTGTTGGGGACAGTTTAATTCACTTCCGTGAACATCATCATTTTACGAATTATGATTTTCAGAAAAATATTAAAAAAATAAAATTTTCAAAAATATTATAAAATTTATTTGATAGGATAAAATATTATCAAAAAATTATATAAAATTTTCTCATATCATGGAATCCAATAATACGACCCTACTTGTGGTATTATTGAATAGCATTTTTGTTAGAAGAATTTTTCTAAGAATTTTTTTTTTCAAAAAAATTAATAATCCTTATATTAAACGTGGATAAATAAGGTTATCAATGTCAATTTTTCAAAAATTAAAATTTATCCTTATACCGAAGGTTCTCGTCTCACCTCACAATCTGGAGTGAATGGTTATTTTTAGTCAGTAAAATACACATTAGAATTTTCCTTTCATTTACTTGGTAATTAATTGATTATATTATTCACCCTAAACTGAGACAAATATATCATTGTTTTTTTCTTTTTCTTTCTTTGCACGGAAAGTGATGGAAGGATGTAAAGTTTAACAAAAAAAATTTGGATGCTGTAATCAACTTAATTGTAACATGAATTATTGGTGGGGGTGAAAGTGTTGCTAAAAGAAATTAATTTCGACTGTGGAGTGTTAAAACTAGGTGGGTGGGTTGGTGTGGCTGGCATCTTTGTTGGGGAGTGAGGTGACCCACTGGGGAAACTATTACCAAACTCCCTTTATTTATTATGCTTATCTCTACTCTCTACGGAGAATAGGTATACGTATTCCTGGGTATCTATGTCATCAAAATATCATACATTGCATTGTTACATTGGCGTGGCAACTCTGACATTCTATTAACAGTCAGAAACTAACTACTAGTACATTCACTAGCAAACTTTCGGTACCACCCTCTGGCCTCTACTTCTTTCCTTAAATTAAAAAATAATTAAGATATAAAAGGAAATAAGAAAAAAAGCAAAGGATTAAAATGGAAAATAAATTTTCTGTTTTAGTAAAAAGATACACCCTACACAGTACAACGGTGGTATTTAAAAAATTTCCTACATTCACGTCATTTATGGGAACAGCGATCAAAATATCATTGTTCATCAAGTTTTTTACCTAAATGTCACGCGAACAGTGTTATTTTTCAATATGTCACGTGGACAAATTCGGTGGACACTGTAGCGAACTTAGTTGCTGACGTGTCACGTTTTTAGTGAACACCAAATTCGCTACACGGATAGCGAACTTGGTTGAAATACATATTCCAACCAAGTTCGCTACCAATGTAGCGAACTTGGTATTTTTTATTTTTTATTTTAACTTAGTACTTGTTATCCACTAAAAACGTGACATGTCAGCAAACTGAGTTCGCTACAGTGCCCAGCGAACTTGCCCTCGTGGCATATTGGAAAAGAACACTGTTTGCGTGGCGTTTAAATAGAAAACTTGATGAACAGTGACATTTTGATCGGTGTGCCTCATTCATGAATGTGCAAGTCCGAAAAAAAACTACTCTTACGTTACATGTGATAAATTTCTCTCCTACACATCTTTCGATAACTATGTCATCTTTTTTTTTTCAGGTGGTGGAGCCCACAAGTTTATCTCTATGACATGAGATAACTTATCTCCTTTAACATGAGATTAATAAAACCATGTAAAGATGTCTTAATTCATATGACACCAAATATTATTAAGAACTGTGTTATATAGAAATCGAATAATACCTAAGTATCTTTTTTTTTTTTTTTTACTTTTTTAACTTATTCTTCTTCTTATTTTTACCCCTTTTTACATTAGAGCATGTTTTAGACTCTTTACATTATATTAAAAAAATGGATTTACATTTATCATTTTACATGACACAAGAAATTTTTCTACATACAATATTTTGTGGGACTCACACTTCTTGAAGCAAAAAAAAAAAAAAAAACTACGGCACGCAAAACGAATCTCTATAACATTACACAATCACTTTTTCTACAACATAACTCTTATAAAACCCTAAAAAAATATTAGAGATATTTTTGGTCTAAGATTTCTAATATCCAAAAGTCATTTTAAATCTTGATTAATCTAAGTCAAGTTGGATAGACCTAGGGATACGAAGATCTTCTAACGCATGATTTCTTTATTCACATGATTCAAACTTAAGACCTTATTTAAAGAAAAGCGAACTACTTGTCACTTAAATTAACGGACATTAACGGTATGTTTGATTGTGTTTTGATTTTTTTATTCTTAAAACTGTTTTGTAAAATAATTATGGAAACAGTTGTTTTCTATATTTTTTGTTTTAAAAGTTAAAAACCAAAACAGAAAATAAAAACAACTCAGACACGTTTTCTAAATTTGATTCTAAAATCAAAAAAACAGTTACAATTTTTAAAACTTTTTTTTATAAAACAAGCTTTACCAAACGATTTTTTTATTTTTTTATTCTGAAAACTAAAAAACTGTTTTTAAAATCAGTAATCAAACAGAGCCTAATATTTTGAAATAGTTTATCAATACTGTGATGGGAAAAAAACTATGAACCTACGTATGTGTTATAATAATATATAGTACTATCACCGTAAATATATATAAAATAAATTATTATAAAAAGTAATATAATTCTTATAGTGCGAACGTCAGATATACTAAATGTAATAATAATAATTTCAGTCTGTACTTTTACTCTCTATTTTTAGCCTTTATATTTAAACAATATACAAGCCAAACTACTTAAGCGTTTTTAATTAATTAAGATCCAATTGGTTATTCAAATCCGGATTCAGATCTTTTATCGATGTTCATGTGTATTGCCGAACCAAACCATTAATAATAATAATAATAATAAGCCTATAATTCAAACTAATCCGTTAAATATTTTCTTTTGGAATTGTCCTACCTACAATAAGGATATACATACAAATTACTTGTAGTTATATATATCTATTCATAGTTTTGGTGGCAATATATTTGATTGTCGCTTATTACTGTTACTTATCCTTCGTATATTAACTGAAGAGTGAATATATTAAAAGGTAGAAATTGATTAAGTTAGATTTATCTTTAAATAGGTTTAACTTGATTTTTTTTATGGTCTTAATTTGGTTTATTAATTATCATAGACTTTTTATATATATAAAAAAAGGGTAATTGTTGTCTCATGTCACATAAAAATTTTGTTATCTCCTACACACTCAATTTAAAGTGAAGCCCAATAGAAAAAAATAAAAAATAATTAACACAAATATCGATGTATAGACATAAGATTAAAAAAATTCCTATTGCATAAGAGTAATATTGTCCAAAATAGAAATTGGCATGACATATTTGTAAAAACATAAAAGTTTGACTCAAGCCCAAAAACTCACTATAAGTCTTAATTGCATTAGACCATCAAATATCAAATGTCAATAGGGTCAGGCTGTTTTTGTACCAATTAAACCAAAAGCTCTTAAACCTTTTGCTTTGATTGGACCACTAGTTTCTATGGACTGGAGAGTGGTCCATAAGGAAATGACCCATAAAAAAGCTGGCCTTTAAGCAAACATTATCTAGTTAGTACCCAGACCAAAACACAAAAGCACACTCCTTATCTACCAAAAAGAAAACAAAAACAAAAGCGCACGTACTATTTTCCAGTACATGAAGGAAAAAGTACTTTAAATCCTGTACTTTAATGTTTCAAGAGGAATCTGGGACAGTGAATCCGCATCTTCTCTGTCTATCCCTTAATTTGTACGCTACCATTTGAAAAATGACAAGTTTCAAATTGCTTCCCTACAGACAAAAGCCAATTTAGATTTTACAGTGTCCTCACATATTTCCTGTTCCAAACGCTTTCATTGAACTTCAGTTCTGTTGCGCTTGTTGCGGGAAAATTATGAAAACCCGAATCAATCAACACATGGCATGCATCCACCACACCTACTTAGGAGTTTCATTGTCATACCATAACATGCACGCTTTCTTGCGTACTTTATTGGGTAAGGACTATATATGGAGAGAGCCAATGTTTGGTTTTAACTTTTAACTTCACCAACTACAAGCCCTGAATACCTCATGGTGTTGATAACGACCTCTATAGATTGAAGCACGCTAAGTATTCTTATAGATGGAGACCATTCTCTGATCCCATTAATTGATCAATTAAATTTGGTCACATTCGAGAGTTTTCTACTGATTCTGTTAGTTCAAGTTGCAACTTAAGTAGGTAATTTTTGTTTTGCACGAAAACTATTTTGTTTTTGGAATAAAAAAGCATATTGGATAGTTACACTTTACAATTATTGCAATTGCAAGAGTGGTGGCGTTACTCTTGAATCATATTTTTCATAGTGTTTACTTTTTTATGTTTAGCCATTAAATAAATAATATCGATCTCACTCATAAAACGTTTTTCTTAAGGAACATTGATTATTCACAGTCTTTTCATATTTTTGTGAGAGAATTATCACGTCATTCTTATAATGCGATCACTTGTTCAATCTCTCAACTTGTAGCTGATCTCTGGCTGCTCACTTGAATATTTTAAAGCTAATGTATCTTTCTAATTGACTTAAGTATCGAAGTTTACAATATATATAATATAAAATCCATTTTTTTTCTTCCTTATCTTAAACCTATTTGTCCCCTTTAAACCTATCGCAGTTCAATTGTCAAAGAATGATGAAACGATTAGCCTAATGATAACTTGTGTAAATTTTCGGCATATTTTCCATGAGGTTTGGAAGTAGTTGATGGTTAGGTTGATTGGTTCACCCTTTCTCTTGACCTTCTTGGCGAAGGCTATCTCTCTTTCTTTTTTTTTCTTTTTTTAATTCCCTCTTTCAATAATTCTAATATATCTAAACCCTTTTGAAGTCCTTGGTTGTATAGATTGCTTCTTTTATCTTATGACAAAACCAAAACGCAGACGCATTTGATGGTTTTATTAGGATTCTATAAATATAGATTATTTCTTAGTCAGACCAAATAAATAAATAAAAATGTAACGGCAATCCCAATTCTAGAAGCTATCCAGGACAATCACATATATATTCACATTAAGAATTTTAATTGTCGGCTTGCTAAGTCTGATACCGACATCTTAACAATAACAATTCAGAGGAGAATCATCTACGAAAAATGAGAAATATGAATTGAATAATGAGCAAAGAAAAGCCTGGGAGGGTGCATCAAAAGATTCGATAATGGAATTGTTGGTTTAGCACTTGGCAATTTATGTCAAATTCTTCGACCTTCCCGGGTAATGTTCATCAACAACTAAACAATAATGAGTGGAAAAGTGGAAGGCAACGTAGACAAGATCGAGATATACAGTACACGTTTGTAAGGGGTTGTGGGGGAGTGTAGGGTATCATTGAAATCAACAGGTAGGCGAGTTGCTTGACCTCTAATACAACAATTATAATTTAATATAAAAAAATGTGACAAGAAATAAATAAAAATGATTCATGAATCATGCATGTAGTATAACTCTCTGTCAAGTGACAATGTGGCAGCCGTATTCAAGAGGTTCAGAAGTCAAGGAATCTCCGCTTAACTTTTTAAGTTATCTTCCAAGGGTAGTTGGGACTTAAGAGAATGTATGTACTATAAATTTCTCAGCTTTCACAAATTTTTTAGTGTCATCAATTATGCCATCTTCTATATATGTTGTCTTTATAGTTTACTAGATTTTAAAAACCAAGGTGTTTTTATTTGGAGCATTGCACATACATACTGATTCTAGATGACTTCTAAAAAGATTACATGGAAGTCTATTGTCTTGATCTTAAGTTGTTACAAGACTAGATGCCGCCCCTTGCAGGAATCAGAAAAACAGGTTTTAAAACAAGGTTCTTTCCAAAGGCTATGCCTCTCGGATGTAAGCTTTTCGAGTTCCACTCAGGCCATTGAAGATCTTTCCATTTCCCTCGTTGGCTCAAACCTTTACACATTCACCCTAGAGGAGCTAAGACAAGTCACACATAATTTCTCATGGAGTAATCTGCTTGGTGAAGGCGGGTTTGGACCCGTGTACAAGGGTTTTGTTGATGACAAACTTAGACCTGGTTTGAAGGCTCAACCTGTAGCTGTGAAACGACTGGACTTGGATGGTTTGCAAGGTCACAGGGAGTGGCTGGTTAGCTTTCTGAAGCGCTCTTGAATTTTTTAAAGAATAGCCTTTTTTTCACCCCATTATTATATTAGTCAAAGAATAAAATATAGCTAATGAAACATGTTTCACGAATATCTGAATACTAGTTTGGAACATATTTTCTTTTATAGGCAGAGATTATATTTCTTGGACAGCTGAGGCATCCACATCTTGTTAAGTTAATTGGATATTGTTGCGAGGAGGAGCACAGGCTTTTGGTGTATGAATACATGGCAAGAAGCAGCTTGGAGAATCAACTGTTCAGAAGTATGTTGCTTTTCTTTTTCTTTTTCTTTTTCCCATCAAGGATGAATTGAGATTAGAAAGTCACAGGGAATGTGTCTGTGTTTCTTATTATATAACTAGCAACTCAGTCCAACCAAATTCCAATATCAAAATAGCTCGATGATCAAATAATTTGGATATTCTGTTCTTTATTATCAAGCACATCTAATTGATTCAAATCTATTTATTTATTTTTGGATACTGATGGGAAATATCATGATAGTTGAGGATATATATTGAGAAGAATTTCTCACATAAGTACATGGAAATTAACATTCTACCAATACCGTAAACCAAGCCTAAAGGCCTGCTTTTTTTATTTGTTCTAATACAAGCAGGATGCTCTGCTGCCTTGCCATGGTCTACAAGGATGAAAATTGCATTGGGTGCAGCTAAGGGTCTGGCCTTCCTTCATGAATCAGATAAACCTGTAATATACAGGGATTTCAAAACATCAAATATCTTACTGGACTCGGTATGTTCTCTGCTCTGTCCTCTCATTTCTCCTGCTAAAGGATGATAGTGTATCTCCTATTGTCCTACATCATCTTCCCAGAGCCCATAAAGAAATTAAGTTCTTGATCTTCTTTTTTTCCAAATCCAGGATTACACAGCTAAATTATCAGATTTCGGACTAGCTAAGGATGGTCCTGAAGGGGAAGACACACATTTAACAACAACATGCATAATGGGAACACAAGGCTATGCTGCTCCTGAGTACATCATGGCAGGTAGTGTAAAGAACCAATTCAATCCAAAAAACTTAAGCGGTTGGGTGAGGACTTTTATAATGATTTATATTATTCTTTAACACATTTCCTCGTACAAGAGTCTTTTGAGTTTGAAGCGCGAATATTGCATATGTCCAATTTTGTGTTTACCTTATGCTTATTTAATTTTACTAGAAAGTGAGGATAATGAGAATCGAATCCGTGACCACTTAGTTACTGAGGCTCTGATCCCATATAAAGAACTAATTCAACCTAAAAGTTTAAGTTGTTAGGTGAAAGCCTTTTTAATGATTTATATTATTTGTTTTTGCTCCAAACTTAGCATAAAGCCCTTAACCCTTGTCCTTTGATTGATTCCCAAGGTTCAAGAGTCTTCAGAAGTCACTGGGATGTTTTAACTTAAGCTAATTCATTGCTTGATTATTGGGTTGATTCCAGGTCACCTTTCCACCAAGAGTGATGTGTACAGCTATGGAGTGGTTTTGTTGGAACTGCTTACAGGAAAACGGGTAGTGGATAGGACACGGCCAAATCGAGAGCGCAACCTGGTGGAATGGACAAGGCCTCTTCTGAGAGATCAAAGAAAGCTGCAGCATATCATAGACCAAAGATTGGAAGGGCAGTTTCCTATGAAAGGAGCTATGAAGGTTGCTGCATTGACTTATAAATGCTTGTGTCACAACCCTTCTCCAAGACCCACTATGAGTGATGTGGTAAAGATACTGGAGTCACTTCAGGACTTCGACGATGTTATCATAGGACCGTTTGTGTATGTGGCCGTAAGTGAAAGTGGTCACTGAGATACTGTCAAAGTGCATGAAGAGCATGATGCCAATTTAGGAAGAACATCAATTCATCAGCAACGTAGATAAAATATAGCAGATATTAGATAACAAAAAATGAAGGAAAAAGGAAAAGAAAATCATGTGTTTGTCATTTTAATTTGTAAGGGATGGTCTTCGTAATCATGAAGCTGAATGTAAGTTACTAGTTACATCTAATTGTGGTCAGAAATTGAGAGGTAAGTTATCAGAAGTGGTGACTGAATGTGATTCTCAAATTTGTCTGGATGTAACAATGGACAAGCATTTGTTGGTACGAAGAAGTTTTGATTGGACATCGATATACGAAGAGCAACACTTAAAAGAGGTACATGTACCAAAAAAAAGAGAGAGAGGTATAAAGAATACAAAACTTGTAAAAAGGAAAAGATGTGGCCAGTTAAATAAAAAAATGCTAAGCGTACTTTGTTCAAAAAGAGAAAGATTCCTCTATCATTTTTATTTTTATTTTGAAAGCTATTCCTCTATCAAATTTGAACCCGAGCAAACATGCGACCACACCAAGAATTTTTGTAGCACTTAAAAGATGAACAGCACTACATAGTCTTTACCTCGTGCATTTAATTTAAGATTCAAATATATTTTTTCCATATTAATAATACCCATTTTCAATTTGATGATTTATACTGGAATTTTTTTAATATGATACTACATTTTATTATTTTCAAAGTTATCCCATCATCTATTCTTGTCATATAATATTGTGCGATTGATATTTAGTGTAAAGTATAAGAACTAAATTAAAAAAAAAGTAAATAATAATATTTTTTATTTTTATATGTAATTCTCATTTCTTAATTTAATTTTATATTTTGTGTCACAAATCTTTTTTTTTTTTTAAACAATTTTTTTGTCATGATTCTGATAGAGTGTTATAATAGTAATAAACTATTAAGTTTAGAGACTAAATTAAATTTTTGTATAAAAAAGTAAATTAAATAAAGTTTCACATATCCTTAATTTAGTAACTAGTGACATGCTGAGAAGCGAGAATCATAAACATTTATTCTCAAAAAAATGCGATCCTCTAACGTGAAATGGATGACACTATGAGTAAAGGCAAGAGGCCAAAGCGACGTCGGTTTAGATGCTAATGATTATGAAAGAACAAGTCTACTATATTGGACTGTATGGCGCGGGAGAAGAAGGTTTAGACTTGCTGAATAAGAATTCCGATCACTGATCGGCGATGGCGACCTCTGTGGCAGTCGCCGGAATTCTATCAGCACATGATCGCCGGATTCTGACAGCTGTCAACGCCGGAGCCTCCAGCCTTTCTTTGTTGGGGTCAGGCTTCATTGTACTCTGCTACCTCTTCTTCAAGGAGCTCCACAAGTTCTCCTTCAAGCTTGTGTTCTACCTCGCTCTTTCCGTACGCCTTTTCTTCTCAGATCTATAAGTTTCCTTTTATCGATTCTACTTTATCGTTGTTTCCCTTCCCATACTCTTCGCAAATTTAGAATATGAAGAATGATTGCTCTTAAATTTATAGTAGCTCTATAGTAAGCTTCGTCACATACGCTGTTAAAAGTTATTGCCACCTTGTTATTGACTTCAATTACTTGATGAAATCTGTTTAATTTTTAGTTAACTTCAAGTCGAGAAACTAATTTTGTGTAATGTTTATTGCCTAGGTGGCTAGTTGCCCTAACCACTTTAATTTTTATTTTGCTGCTAATGCTGTTTTGCAACTCAAATCTTTGTCCTTTGGTCTGTGCCTAATGCCTATTCAGTTTTCTCATTACTTTTGCCTTATTTTTTATGTCTGAGCCTTAGGTATAACTCGCTTTTATGGAATTTTCTGTGATTGTAGGATATGCTTTGCAGTTTCTTCAGCATCATAGGGTATGCCCTCTGAATCCTGTGCTGTCTTCTTAAAATCTAGGTTGTGATTGATAGAACTTCATTTTGATACAGGGACCCATCCAATGGAGTCTTTTGTTATGCTCAGGGCTATAGCACACATTTCTTTTGTGTGGCATCTTTCCTGTGGACTACAACAATTGCTTTTACCCTTCATCGTACTGTTGTGAAGCACAAAACAGATGTTGAAGATATGGAGGCCGTGTTTCACCTGTATGTCTGGGGTATGCTTTTATGGATGAATCAGATTTTGATATTCCCACTTTGAGAAATACGCTACTTTGCAATAATCTCCCCCTTTAACTTCACAACATGCTGACTTTTAGGGTGTGCATGACAACCATTCTATTCCCGAGCACTGTTTCTGAAAAGAAGCAATTCTTTTCTATTTCTGTGCCTTGGAACAGTTTCTGAGAAAAAAAATGTGTTTGATAACATGTTCCATTTTTATTCCGAGAATGAGAATTGTGTTTGATAACACAACAAATAATATAATAAAAAATAATTCCTATTAAATATAAAAAAATTTCGGATCAACTCTTTCCTTTCCATATGGTGTGGTTGTGGTGGTGGCGACGGTACGGTAGTGATGGTGGCAGTGACGTGGTGAAGATAGTGGTGGTGGTGGTTGTGACGGCAGTGGCTGCAAAGATGACGATGATAATGGTGGCAGCGACGGTGGTAGTGGTGGGGATGGTGGTGGTGGAGGTGAAGGCATCATGGTGGTGGTGGTGGTGGTGGTGGCAGTGGCTGCGGCGGTGGTGGTAGGTGACAGTGGTGGTGGTGATGGTGGCGGCGGTGTGGCGATGGCTTGGTGATGGTAGTGGTGGCGTTGGTGTAATGGTGGCGATGGTGGTGGTGATGACGGTAATGGCTGTGACGATGGTGGTGGTGATTAGTGGCGGTGGCGGCAGCGGCGAAGACGGTAGTGGTTGCGGCAATGGTAGTGGTGGTTGGTGACAGTGGTGGTGATGGTAGTGGCGGCGTCATGGTGGTGGTAGTGATGGCGATGAGGGTGGTGGCACTGGCATGTGATGGCGATGGTGGCGGTGACGGTGACGGCGATGGTGGCAGTGACGGCGATGGTTGCGATGATGGTGGTGGTGGTTGATGGAAGTGATAGTGATGGTGGTGGCGGTGGCGGCGGCGGCGGCGATGGTAGTTGTGGTGGTGGTGGCATGATGGTAGAGTGATTGAGAGAGATAAGTGTTTCTCATTTTGAACCCGGGAACAAAAAAGCAGAAATTTTTTTATTCTTTTTTCTGTTCCCCAGCACAAAAATTAAACCTGTTCATCCCGGAAACAAAAAAATAAACCGGTTTTACCAAACAAGTTTCCTATCCATTTCTGTTCCCGGGAACAGAAATTAAAAAAGAATTGATTCCGGGAAGGTTGTCATGCGCACCCTTAATCTGAAAATGAGATTTTACAGAAAATTCATACACAATGATGGTATGGCTTCAGTTGTATACTAAATTGCTAATAATTGGACTTCCAAGTTCTGTCTAAATTTTGACCATTATATGCTACTTTTATTGCAGAGAGCTAACATAGTTTTAACTGTTGACAGGTACTTCCCTAGTTATGACAGTGATGCGCTCGTTTGGTAATGATCATAGACATTTTGGCACATGGTGTTGGACTCAAACAGGTCGCACAGGGAAGGCAAGTAGTTGCAAAAATACTAGTTAAATATCAATTTTATGCAACATTAAAAATTTCTGTAATTTTTTGTGTTTATTTTAATTTTGTATACAGTGGTTTCTAATTCACTAGAGTAGGCAATCAGCTCATTAAGAAACCATGACTTGGTTTCCTACAAGAAAAATATTTTCCGTGTTGCTATTCTATGAAGTTAAATACGTAGTTATTAACATGAAAAGAAACTAAATTTAAGAGCTGATAAATGACATGTTTACAGACCGCTAAAAATTCCATACTCCATTCCATTCACACTTTTGTAAAGTATCCATTTTGCTCCTTATTATGGAATTGTTGATAAGAAGCTTGTGATGGTAAAAGCTTAGCAATTGATTTAACAACTGGAATACTCGGAAGAAAGCAGAATGAAAAATTGAGAACAGACACTCCCAATTTTTTGCAACTTATGTACTGCATATCTACTGTATTTGTATATGATATTTTGTTCAACAGTATAGCCTGATTTTCATTTTAACATAATAGTCTAATTTCCATCTTTTTCCTGTCCTCTGAGCACATGTTCCTTTTTTCTGTGCAGGCAGTGCATTTTGTAACATTTTATGTACCACTCTGGGGTGCAATTTTATACAATGGATTTACATACTTTCAAGTGATACGCATGCTGAATAATGCAACCCGTGTATTTATCCAACTTTGCTGATTATTTTTCAAAGAAAGAACAAATTACTTATTTAGACACTTTTTGATACCTACACTTTTCTTGTTTCTTTGGAACTGCAGATGGCAGTTGGTATGTCAGACCGAGCTCATGTCTCAGATGCAAGAGATAACATGAGGGTAGTTTATACTGTAACCATTGTTTCCCTCTGTGTGTGTGTTTTATGTAAGTATAAAGAATGTACAATAAGCTTTTAGCCACCTAGAAAGGATGGCTTAAGTGTTACGCAAAAGTTAACCCAATGGTTGAGGGCCTCTGCCATGTTTGAGGCTTGAGCTTGCGGAAAATCACTTGTGGGGAGGGGCTACGTCAGTTCCCTGAGTGAGGATTAATCTCACATCCAAAAAAAAAAAAAAATGGTGTGGGGAAACCTCGTAAGACCAAGAAAAAAATAGCAATATCTTGCTGCTATCATCATTCACATCTTTTACCTTTTACTTGTTACTTTGTGTCATGTGGCCTTTTCATTGTAATCTAGATGTTTGTTCAAATGCCTTATATATCTCTCTAGGAGAGTTTTCTGTTTTGTATTTAAAGGAAATTTTCGTCAAAGATATTTCCATTGTAATGTCTTTTCTCTGTTTTTTTATGTTCAATAAATTAATTACCACTTGGTACTGTTCTTTCAAATGTGTTTTTGATTTTCATGAGTAAATTTATATCCATTGTTAAACCAATTGCTCATGGTGAAACTTTGTAGATTTTTTGTCATCTACATCCCATTTTAATGATAATGTAGTATTTTTCTGTGTTATGTTGCAGGCTCTGAATCGGTGGGGATACTATCCACTTATTCTAATAGGATCGTGGGCTTTTGGCACTATTAACCGTATTCATGATTTTATTGAGCCTGAACATAAGATATTCTATCTCTCGCTACTTGATGTTGGAACGGCTGCTCTTATGGTATCACTCAGTCATCGTGCTGTTTTTTGCTTTATGTCTCAATTCCATTCATTAGATGTTCTATGACTTATCTAGCAGCTTAGCATGGTTTTCATTCCTTAACAAATCCTCACGAGTTGATGAATGCTGCAGAAACTTCCCTGATAGCTTTGGCGTTGTAAAACATTTTCAACTTATGATTAATTATCAACAAAGGAATTATGTGGCGCCACTGCAATTATCATTTTCCGTTTTGCCAAAATTTTATATGTTTTATTCCAGTTAATGTGATTGGCATACTTGGTTCCAATTTGATGTCACGTGAAGGGTGTGAACATTAACATCAAGTACAGCATTGTGTGGTGTAATAGTGACATTTTGCTAACCTTTGTATTCTTGTTGCAGGGCTTCTTCAACTCAATTGCATATGGCCTCAATTCTTCTGTTCGTCGGGCAATTTGTGAAAGACTGGACATGTAAGTCCTTCTTGTATTCTATCTAATCTTCCTGGAGAGATTCCAAGTAAATTTCTTGCATTTTTGCTTTGCTCCCCTGATATTCAAGGCCTGTCTACATTTAGTATCCTTATCACTTGTTTTGGCTTTGTGACTGAATGGTCGCGGGCTCGAATCTGGAAAACAGTTTCTTTGCAACTATGTAAAGATAAGGATGCGTACAAGAATTGCCCTCACCTCTATCTTTGCTAGTCTGGATTCAATGGGGAGTGGTTATCACTTGTTCTGGCTTTTAACTTGTGCACCTGTTATGGTCAATTTAATTGTGCTAGCTTTACCATATAGTCTTTTTGTGGGATCCTGGTAAGAATCTAATCCAAAACTTACTCAAGCCCCCTGGCTCTGTCCCTATTCTCCCAACCCCCTCATATTCTGCAGGTTAGTGGTGTTATTCTGATTCCGAAGTATACAATCTGGTGGATGTTATACAGTCACCCAAAAAAGCTCAAGTTAGGTTACTTGTCATCTTATTGTTTGAGAATTTTAAATGGTGGATTGACAACCACTAGTTTTTAAATTGATGAGCACTTAATTCGGGGGTAGTTTGGTGCAAAAGGTCCAAAATCTACGGGGTCCTTGTTTTCTTTTTCCAGTGCAGTTACTTACTGTTAAGTAACCTTTATCATTTATTCAAGTTTTAGCTTCTATTATAATTTTTTTTTTCCTTTCTTCTCGCTTTTTAGCATATCTAATTTAAAACAGATTACTGAATTTGGTTTTTTTTTTCTTTACCAGGTTCTTGCCGGAGAGATTTCGCAGATGGCTCCCCGACAATCTTAAGTACAGGAACCAGCAACAAGAAAGTGAACTAGTCTCGTTAAAAATTGACGACCAATGATAGTGAATGCACATATTTTGATCCTCCACATCATATTTTGACATGTCTCAGTCTAGTTTACTGAAATGCTGTATTCATAGACAGCAGAAGATCTTCCGGCAGCATTCGTTCCATGCTATTTGTTGCACTGCTGCCTTGCTCATGTGAATCATGTCATTCACAGTGAGTTTTTTACTGATGACTGTCCTTCTCGAATAAATCAGTGTATGGGCCACTTATTTGGAATCTGCACTTGGAAGCCGTTATTATGTTTAAATCGAAGAGTCGTTGTTTGTGGCTGCAGCAAGTGAAATTTGTTCAAAAAAGGTTAAACGTCTATCGGAGATTCATCTTTAACAAGTTTTAACTCTGAGCGTTACTTCAAGTTCTTGTATTTCTTTCTAATTTCTGAAACTGGACATTTGTTTAATTTTGTAGTTGTATAGGTAGGTGCACTTAACAATTGTTACGAATTGCTTAACGTTTTTTTTAAAAAAAAAATTAAAAATTGCTGTGCATTTAGTTCTCAGCTAGCTAGTGAAGTACTTGTGTGAAATCTATATGTCCAGATTGCTTTTCGTTATTCTTTTTTCCCGCCTTTGGTCTTTTTAATTCCTAGAGTAATTTTTAATTGGCAAGAGGACTGAAAAGGCCATCCAGATTGTATCTGAAATCAACAACAGTTGGCTTAAGTGAAAGAGAATTCAGTTTTTCCTAGTAAGGTCTTGGCTTCTATTCTTAGGATAAAAAAAAAAGAGCTGATGGAATTTTGCTCCCTAAATTAATTTACTTTACTCGACTCGAATTAGTTAGGGTTTAAAGCCACTCTTAAGATTTTTATTTTATTTTTTAAAAAAGTTCCCGAGAAAGTTGATATTCAAAGCTAGGTTACCTTAGAGTTCAAACTAAATTGTGCTTTCTGTTAAAATGTTGTTCCTGGCCAGCAAGATATTAGGTCTTATTTAGGTGCCTGTCCTTCTCTGATTCCCGCAACGTATATATTATGGACTTATCCATTTATGCAACGTATTATGGTCTAAAGAGTGAATATTTGCCCATGCATCCTGCGGTTCTGCCCTGTCCTTACCCATGCCTGGAGTGTCAGGGAGGGGCTAGCTAGCTGCTGTCTTATTAGGAATAAATCTTTGGTACTTCTGTTGTACTTAGATTCAGTGCATCCCATGAATGAGAGCCTTACACATCAGATGAGAGAAAAAAAATTTGACAGAAAAAAAAAAATACTTTAGCTGATATGTAATATTTTCATTGGTGGGATGCACTGAATCTTTGGTACAACAGTGTACGAAACATTTATTCGTCTTATTAGGTCATATGAAAATGAACTTAAACTTTTTCTTTCAAAGACGCAATTCAATTTTTCTATTTTCTCTTTCTAATAATTAATGCATTACTTAATTTATCAGTTCAGTTTCGCTAAGGAAAGAGGGAATAAATAATAGCACTCCGACTCAGGAAGTGGAGAACTTCTGATGTCAGAGAAGAAGACTAGAAGGAACTTTTCGTTTGGGGTATTTGAACAGATTATTCTGCACCATATAGTTATCATTGTTGACATTTTCCAGCTTCTGTTAAACAGCTATCTCATTATTATATCTGTAAAAAGATGAATTATCTCACGTCTGAGATAAATATAACTCCGATTAAAACTACCACAAAATAAATTCGATTTTATAATCGAGAGCTCCCATTACACATTGATCAGAATTATACAACCCGAATTCCAGCCCCAAAACACCAGATCCCAAATTTCCGTAAACAAGAGTTACTAAATTAAAAAACAGGAAAGTAATAATACAAACAAAGAAATTAATAAGTAATTATAACAGGGAGGGAATTGGAGGGAGAATGGATCTTTGTGATCTCAAAGCGATCAAGCACAGGCACAAGAATTGTCAACGACGATGGCATCATAAGCATCTTCGCCGTCGCTCCTGAAGAAGAAGTGACCAATGGCAAGACCCACCACGATGGCCACAAAGACACCTCCGTTGAAGGACATAACCGCCAACATCAACAAATACCCGATCGCCGAGCTAACACCAAACAGAACCGCTCCGGCAAGCTTCACACCCAACTTAGCCCTATCTCCGGCGATCCTCCGTCTCAGAAGAGGTGTCTGTATCTCCGGCGGAAAGGACTTCCCGGCGGCGAACACCTTGAGGCGAATCCGGCGATTCTCGAGATACTGATAGAAAACGGAAACGACAAGACACGCAACCAAACTGAGAACGTAATCGATCCATGAATCGGTCTTCCAAGAATCGATAAGAAGAGTGACCTTCCTGCTCCAATAGAATGTCATGTGCATCATCTTCGCTACTCCTTTCTGAATTTCAAGGCTTTTTGCCAAAAAAAAAAAAAGAAAAGAAAAAACGATGAACGCGAAGAAGGAGTTGAGTTCAACGACAATAACCCCCGCCTATTTCCGAAGGTCATTGCTTTGTCGTGTTGTATCGTTGTACTTTGCTTTTGCTGTACGCTGTTACAATTATTCGGATTCCTAAAATGCCCTCAAACACTGTCTTTATTACCATTTCGCGCCACCACCTGACTCGTTTTCCTTGCGGTTATTTACGGTATTTCGAAAATGAACTGAATAGATAGTACCGCAGTACACACCGAGCGTACCGAAAAATCGGGTTCTCGTTTTTGTACTGCCAGTTCAATTTATCTCTTATCAAAAAGTGTATCAATTTTTACTTTCTTTATAGAGAGTAATTTTTTTAATTTCTAATAAAAATATTTATTTTAAATTTGTTTGTGAATATTTATCATTTTATTTAATTACAATAAATAAAGAAATAATACATTCTTATTTACTTTAAAAAATTACTTTAAAAAAAATATTAAGAAAAATATTTAGGAACAAGATTTTTTTGTACTAAGAATGTTTCTAAAAAGTGTTTGCATTCTTAAAGAATTTTCAATAAACACGTGTTACTTATTATGTTAATTTTTTTGATAGGGTATTTTTAATTTATTTAATAATCACTTTAAATTTTGACAAATTTTAATAAACGAATATATTTTGTAGTTTTTTTTTTTTATTTACGGAGGGCTAAGGCCCAAAGAAATTTGTAGTTTTATTTTAACTACAGAAAATCAATTACAACCCTCAAAAAAAAAAAAATCTATTGGTAAAATAGTGAGGAAATTCAAAATTTAATGAGTGACAGTGGTTACATCATAATTGCATTAGGTGCAGTTATTTTTTAAATTACAAATAATCTTGGCCCAAAATATATGTAATTATTTTAAGGATTTAATATTGAAAAAAGTGTTTGTCATCTTAAATGACATAAAGTTATGTCATATGTCATTTTAAGAGAGAGATAGATACAAGAAACATTTTTTATTTCAAATTTAAATTAAAAAAAAAACACTCATTTTCTCTCCCATGATTTCCATTTCTTGTGTCTATCTTTCTCTGAAAATGACATAACTCATATCATTTAAAGTGACAAACACCAAACCTTTTAATATTTGTTCTTTTTTTTGGATAAACAAAAGGCTTCGGTCTAGGGGTGATAAACGAGTCAGGGGCCTTTGGCTCGGCTCGTGAAGGCCTGAGTTTCCCTGCCTAATATTGGTTGTTGGAACCAGGCTTGGACTTGTATAAAAGCTCGTTTAGTAAAAAGGCCTCAGGCTCCAATTCAAAAGCTCGGCCTTGGAGCCTCTCAGGCTGGCCTAGTATATTAACTTTTATTTTTATTCATATTTTTTATACTATTTGTAATAGCCCTCTCTCTCCTATCAATCTATTCCATCCCTATTTTATTAGTTAAACAAACGTTTTGAAAGATTTTGTTCTATATTATACTGTTTGGATATACATTGAATTTATGAATATTTATGGAATTACTAGTGTTGTTGATTGTATATTTTTTTTGAATAAATTTTTGTTGTCTTATTCTTTTCTAACAGGCTAACAGGCTAAAACAAGCTTTTATTTTTTGCAAATAAGGCAGGCCACATGCTGATAATTATATTCGTGACAGGTAACAGGCTTGGTAAGGCCGATACATTTAAACACAGGCTTAGCCTTTTAAGACCAAAGCTCGGCTCAGCTCGGCCCGTTAACACCCCCACTTCAGTTCAAAAGAAACAAAACTAACTAGTTCAGTGGTTCCTACACACCACTACCCTAGACCTACTGACAGAGGTTAAATTATCAAAAAGTAAAGACTGAATACCACGTGGAGGATCCTTCCCGGTTTAATATTTATTCTCTTAAAAGATATAGAATTATGTAGAGACAGACACAAATAATATATTAAATATATCAAATTTAATACACTGACGCTTCGTTTGGGAGTTTGGAGGGAAGGGGAAGGAAAGGAATCCAAGGGGAAGGGAGGGGAAAAAGGGATTCTCTTCCCTTGTTTGGGAGTATAAAAAATGGTAAGAGAGAAATTGGAGGGTCAATAAGATATTTTTACAATTTTATATATTTTTTTAAATTAATATAATTATTATATTTTACAAATTAATTATGTAAACTGAAAATTTTCTGTAGAAATATGTTCCGTCGACAGTTTTAACTGAAATATTTTTCGTTAAAATTTTTGATGAAAATATTTACGTAAAAAATTTCGACGAAACTTAGATTTCATCAAGAATTTTGAAGGAATTTTTTTTTTCGTTACGAACTTTGACGGAATTTTATTCGTCAACTTTTTTACGAAAATGTGTTTCGTCAAATTTTTTGATGAGAATATGTTCTATGGAAAATTTTCAACGGAAATATATTATGTCCAAAATTTGGACGAAAATATTTTTCGTCGAAAATTTTAATGTAAAAGTTTCCATGGAATTTAGATTATGTCAAGAGTTTTTACGGAATTTTAATTACGTCAAAAATTACTGTAAGCGATTGTGACCAAATCTTATCCCATCTCTAATTTCGTCTTTAGTTTCGATAAAAAAAAATTGACGGAATATTTTCCGTTCAAAATTTCGATGGAAATATGTTTTGACAAAAATTTCAACGAAAATTGTTTTGTCAAAAATTTTGAGGGAAATGTTTCATTCGAAACTTTCGACGAAATTTAGATTCTGTAAAGAATTTTGACATAATATTTTTTTTGACAAATTTTTTTATCGAAATATTTTTACGGAAATATTTTCTGTCAAAATTTTTTGACAGAAATGTGTTCCGTTGAAAATTTTGATGAAAATGTATTTTATCAAAAAAAAGATTGACGAAAATATTTTTCGTCGAAAATTTTCGATAGAAATGTATTTCGTTAAAAAGTACGACGTAAATTTTTTTTGTCAAAAAGTTTAACGAAAATGTTTCCGTCAAAATTTTGACAGAATTTAAAATCTGTAAAGAATTTTGACGAATTTTTTTTTCGTCAAAAAATTTCGATAAAAATGAATTTCGTTGAAAATTTTGATGGAAATATTTTTCGTCAAAAATTTCAACGAATATGTTTTTTGTGAAATATTTTGAGGGAAATGTTTTGACGAAATTTTGATTCCGTAAAGGATTCTGGCAAAACAAATTTCCGCCAAATTTTTTACAAAAATATTTTTAATCATAAATTTTTATGAAAATATTTTTCGTTGAAAATTTTTGCAAAAAAATTGACAGAAATATTTTCCTTAAAAAAATTGACAGAAATATTTTCCTTAAAAAATTTTCGATGAAAATGTGTTTCGCCAAAATTTTGGACGAAAATATTTTTGTTGAAAGTTTCGATGGAATTTAGATTCTATCAATAATTTTGACCGATTTTTTTTTTGTAAAAAATTTATGTTAGTGATTATGTCAAAATCTGGTTCCGTCTCCAATTTCGTCTTTAGTTTTGACAGAAATTTTTTGATATATATGGTTTTCATCACTATTTTTAACGAAATATTTTTTTTTTATAAATTTTGTCGGTATTTGAGACTTTTCTAATAATGTCACGTTTAAAAATGATTCACATTTATATACTTTCACATTTTAATTCTACAAATAGATAAGTAATTTTTACTATTTTTCCCGTCAAACCCTCCAAATTGTGGGAACTTTAATTTTAAGAAGAATGAAAGTTTTGGAGAGTTTAGTAAAAAATTTCAATTTCTTCTTATTTTTTTAAACTCACAAACAAGTGAAGGACTTACTAAAATCCTTCTTTTCTTTTTCTTCTTCTCTTAAAATCAATTCACAAACAAAGTCGTGTAACAAAAGTTTGGTCAAGACGTAGAATGTGGAATATACAGACATATCATATCAGAAAATAGTATAGTTCTGATTGTATTCTCTTTCCTTTGAGATGCTAAAGCTTCTTCATCCGATATTAGAACAAAGTTTGTTTGTTTTATTTTGGTGATAAAAAAAAGGTACATACTTTTACAAAAATGTGAAACTGACACTCTGCAATCATTATAATAACTGCATATTGTGCAAATCGAATCCCACTGTCATTTGTCATGATTATTTATTGATGTTTATAATCTTTTTGACAGTTACAATCGTGTAATGCATTTAAAAAATAACTCAGGACTATAGTGATACATAAAATTTATGTAATCATATACGTGCAAAGATATTATTAATTGGTGCATAGTAGCAAATCATTATTGATATAGTAAAAGACTAACAACGAAAAACACAATAAAATAGAAAACAACAAATGATATAGTTGGAATCACCCCAACTCAACTTTCGAGTCCTGCCATATGCATAAACCAAAACAGCGTGCACCATAAGATTTCACGGTTTGATTATCCTTATCAAGGTCTAGCACTTTCCAATTTGTACGTAGTGGGCCCATAAAGCACATGTTCTCTCAGAAAAATCATCGTGCGCATGGACCCCATCTTCCATCACCTAATAAAAAGATTATTGTCCGATGGGCTTAGCCATTGGAGCAAAGCACATCTGACACTGCATATATTTTCTTATGACTAGCCAAATCTAGCAGTTGGGTGGCTTAATTCTAGAGTTAAAATATTTCCATCTTTCACCCTCTAAGTCTAAACTAACTAACCAAGTAGAATAGGTTCACCAAATTGATTTGCGATCCTGTTATTGCACTCTTTCATCCTCTTAACATTTTTTTTAAGAAATTGTTTGGTGCTTTAAGGTATAAGAATCATCGTAAGTTGTACAACTATTTTTTTCGAAAATAAAAAAACTATGACGACGGAGTAGCTGTCGAAAATTTAATAACATTAGAATCATTGTTATTAAATTGTATAACCGTTTAAAAGATTAAACTTTTAAGGTAAAAGATCGAGAGTGTCTCTCGTTGGCAGCCTAGTAATTGTGTACATAACTGGATTAAATTAAAAAAAAAACTATACCATTGTCATGAGCTGAATTTGAAAGAAATTGCATAAACTAAATTTGAATCAACCATAAAGATAAAGAAACCAAATTCCATTCCAAAGTAATGAATCAAACAGAAGTGACATCACATTTAGATTGAAGTCAAGTAAGGAAGAAGAGTCCTCCCAACAATCATCCATTCAATCACAAATGCCAGAAATAAACCTTAATCCTGATTATTAGAAAACATAAACTTGAATAATTAAATCTTAAGCCTGCCAAATCAAATTCACTGACTAAGTCAGTAATCCATCATTCAGAGGTAATTACCTCTCTAGTCTCTCTACCTTTCAGCCTGTGTTGTGGCTTTCATGTTCACGGTTGCAAAGCAGCTCTGAGATCTACCAAGTGGTCGATTAGTCAAAGGTTGCTTCCTGGGAGAATCCAAAGAGCGAAGTAAGAGATGTTTCATTGCAACAATCAAATCATGGGTGGGTTTAGTAGAACGGCTAAAAGAGGAAGATCTGAAGCTCATGTGCCGCTTGAGAGCTTCATCGGTGCTTATATCTCTCTCCAGTGACTTCAAAGTCTCATCCTTCACCGCCTCAGCGCACAGCCCACAAATCCAACGACCTTGGTACCTCGCCCGCACACCTTCGATGTACTGCGGGGTACACTCCTCCGTCAACCCGCAGCAATAGCATTTCACGGAGGAAACAGCCTCCACCTCCTCCGCGGCATCTTCTTTTGTCTCAGTAGTAGCAGCCATGACTGTGATCGAATCTCCCTCTTTCTCTCTGACTGACCTGAGCCTAACTCTCACACTACACATTCAAATGTATTTAATCAATGACTTAATTAATATTTGGAAGTAAATCATAAATTAACCGTTTGGAAATTGTAATAAATTACATTCAATAAGATGTTGCAAAGTTCAGGGAGATAATAAATTGAATGGAATGAGAATGGAATGAGATTGAAATTGAAATGGCAAGATAATCTAAAATTAATTGTATGGTATTTGAGTGAGGAATTATCGCTCTTTCTCCCACTCAATCTCTCCGCCAAAAAGCATAAGCCCAAATAACGTGTAGTGCATCTCAGAGCCTTATTTGGCTCTCGGGTAGTTCTTGAAATTCAATTGCAGAGGAATGAGCATAACCAATATATCATCTTCCCTCTTTCATATATTACAGGCCTCACAGAGAGGGGCAGAACATAGTCAGCTATCGATAACATTTTCTATATTTATTTATTATTTATATTTTAAAAAATTTAAAAATTAAAATAAAAATAAATATTTTCCAATCATTGGCACTTTGGTTCCAAGTTCCAACACGTAATGTTTTTCACTGAGCTGCTCCATGGTCACCAGAATATATCTACATCTAACTTATATATAAAATTCATATTGTAACATTTATAGACTAAAAGTAGGCAAAACGCTAGAAGTAAGGTAAATTTAAAAGAAAATTTTCCAATTAATATAAATTTAAAGACAATATTTATCTTAAGTCATTGAAGATAGAAAATCATTCTTGCACATTCAATCAAAAGGTGGGAGCCATCAGGAGAGAGGAAAAAAAAAAAGGAAATAAATACACGAAACTCATATCTGAGCCCAAAACTTCAACTATAAATAAAGGTCTAGCCTAACCAAACCAATTCAAATCTTCAACATTCATCGTAGTAAAATCCAAACCGATCATCATCATAACTTCCCAATTTATTCAAGGATATGGTAATTCAAATCGTCAACATTCATCACAGTAAAATCCAAATCCGATCCTCATCATAACTTTTCAATTTATTCAAGGATATAATAATTCAAATCTTCAACATTCATCATAGAAAAATCCAAATCCAATCATCGTCATTCAAATAATCTCATCACATCAATTATCATAGTTATTAATAATATAAATATTCAAATTCAATCATTAAAACACATATTTGGAAAGTTTTTCTTAAAAAGTATTATAATTCCACAATTTTCATAATTATTCAATAAGATCCATATATTGCACATGAATTAAATCTTATACCATACATTGCACATTATTATAATTTCTAAAATAATAACATTTTATATCATATATTGCACATAATCATAATTTCTGAAATAATAAAAATTTTCCAAAAATATTCTAATTATCATATGTAGTAATTTAAATTTAAAAAAAAAATACCTATATATATAGGAATGTTCATACCAAACTATTAAGAACATCTACGGATTACATATAAGGATTATGCCCAAATTTCATATAATAGAGATAACCTAAACACATAGGGATTAGGATTACATCCAAGTTTTATATAAAAGAAATAACCTACGAATATGATTACATATACCAAAATTCATATCAATATAATCTATGACTCTCTAGGGATTAGGATTACCTGGTCTCCGTTTTCGCTAACTTCTAGAAGAAAAGAGTAATTTGGGGCAGAGAACCGGTTGGTAACCAGAAGAATATAAAATAAATTAAACTAAGTTTTTGAACTAAGAATAGAGAATAGTAGAGGAGAAATGTTGAAGAGTGAATTGGCTTGGTTAGGCTAGACCTCTATTTATAGTTGAAGTTTTGGGCTTAGATATGAGTTTCGTGCATTTATTTTCTTTTTCTTTATTGATGTATCTGGCTCAGATTTTGGCTTTATACATTATTTTCTTTTTATTCTTAATTTCTTAGAATATAACTAACTTATTTGCTAACTCAAGGCTGACTCATGATTGACTCATCATATCTAATCAAATTACTAATCAATCATTACTAATCAAACATAAATACATAAATCATCAATCAATTAATAAATCAATTAATCATAATTTATTATCTAATATATATATATATATATATATATATATATTATTTTATTATAAATAATCAAAGTATTACAAAGTATCAAAATTATTTTCCAATAGTACTCATATCGCACATATATCGCACAAAATTATCTTATCAAAGGTAAAATTTATACTTTTTTATCTATCACCATAAAATTTATATATATATATATTATTCGTAATAATTTATAGTTTATTATTATTTTTATTAATAAAAATATGGAGTATTACATTCTACCCTCCTTAAAAAAGTTTCGTCCTCAAAATTTAATTCTTTTTTTGAAATCCCCTTAAAAAAAAGTAAGCAAACAACAAAGAATCATGCATAACCAAACAAACAAGACAACATAGAATACAATAAATTTAAAACCACTGCAAATTAATAAATTGTTAACTTTAGCCAAGCTAGAAAATAAAGTTTCGAAACTGAATATCTTCTTTAAACAAATAAAATTTTTTATTGCATATATTATCTTTCATTTGCTAGAAAATTTTTAATCAATTCCAGAACAACTCTAAAAGAAAGCTAATTACTTTTATTAAAATAAGAACGAGTTACTAAAGATAACATATAAAATTTTTGAAGAATAATATCAATAATAATTTTAAATCACAAAATAATTCCAAACATATAATCATCAAAAGTTCAAAGAAATAAAACATATTTAAAGGACAAGAAAAATAACCCTTCACTACCCACCTCTCTCGATTTATTTATTTATCTTATGTCCTTTTATTTTATTTCCTAATTTTTATTTTTATTTTTATTTATTTATTTATTTATTTAACTCAGGGATCTTTGATCCCTCAAATCAGTATCAAAAGTAAACCCCAAGCCGAACCAGGGGCTCTGATACCATTTTGTAACACCCCAAATTTCTAACAAATTATAAAACAATCTTATAATAAATAAATTGTCAAAATTCATTTTTTTTTTTTTTTTTACAATTATAATAATAGAAATATTGCGGAAGCTACTCTAAATCTAATTTGGGGAATGTTACCGCCACACCTGTACAATAGACAGGTGCAAGGCTAAATTTATTACATTAAAATAAAACCAAAGACTAAAGTTTAAATAAAGGAAATATGTTTTATGCATTTATTTAAATCTCATAAAATTTCTAAACTTAGGAACTAGCTAGAAATATCCGAGTCGTGATCCTCACTGCCCACAACTACCCCATCCTTTGCAACATGCTTCACTGAAAATCTGCTCCCCCGTGAATGATCATTGCAGTTAAACAAACACAAAAGTCAGCAAAGCTGGTAATCCCAATCAAAATACAATTAATGTAATTAATAACAAATTAAATCAAATATCAAATAGTGTTCAAATCAATTCCACATTAATCAAATCAAATATCAATATAATAATCAAAATTCCATTATATAATATTTATCTTTATTAAGTTCATTTAATATATTTGGTAATTATCAACTAACATATTTAGCCCAACAATAATCATAATATGATAATATTCACAACTCAATGACATTCTTCATAATCAAATCAAATAACAAATTTCATTATTAATAATGGTTAAGTTCATTATATTTAGTGGAAAGAGAACCATGGTAGACCCAGAAAACCCCGCCAGTCTACCTGTGACTCGGGAATTAACTTTAGACAAATAGCACAGTAACTTTCATGCTTCCTTACACGTGAAAGACAATTGCTATGCAACTGTGAAAACTGGGGAAATTTTTGGTTCTCCTGAACCAAACGATGCAAACACTGATTCCCACTCAAGGATTGTTGGGGATATTGACACTTCTCCTGAACCAAACAACCCCTTCATTCCTTTATGATATTTAAACTCCATTTTTTCCTTACAAAATATCTACTCTTATAGTATTGAAGATATGCTCAACAATAATTTTTTTTTTAAAATGTGTAGTTCATGAAAGACTCTTTAGTATTCACCAATAATTATTGAGTAATTATATTTAGGAAAAAGTTCAAAAATTCCTTATGATTTTACTTTGAATCACTTACCTCCTTATATTTTATTTTTAACACTTACCTCCTATATTTTTTTCATCCAATCCTATCATCTGCCTAATTTGTCTTTTTTAGAAGAAAAAAAAATAGACTAAGAATAAAAAAAAAATCAAATATATTAAAATTTTACCATACGTATGGACTTGACCATAGGTGCAAATGACCTCTAACACTGCAAATATTTTCTTATGACCAGTCAAATCTAGTGAAATATTTTAAGTACACTTATCGCATCACTGACTTAGTGTGATGAGTCAATTAAAATTAAGTATTTTCTATGATGTATATAAAAAAAGAGAAGAAGAAAAATTTAATTCAAGTGTTAATTTTTGAATGAAAATTGTAGGTACATCGGGTGTACCAAAAATGCCATCCAAATCTAGCAATTGGGTGGCTTAACTTTAGAGTTAAAATATTTCCATCTTTCATCCTCTAAACCAACTAACCAAGTAGAATAGGTTCCCCAAATTGATCTGCGAATGAAAATCATAAAGATAAACGAACATTTTGTTTGTTGCTTTACTTTTGCAACAATAGAGAGATTAAATATCGTATAAGGCTAATTAGCAGCTTGGCATTGTAAAGCATACTGCCTTTCGACTGCTTCCTGTTATTGCACTCAAGTTAGATCACAATCGATTAGGTGTAGGTATACCACACTAAGAAACAAGGATACATGATATAATAAAATTGAAAGTATATTGTTAAAATTTTATTATGTTCTGATTTTAACAATTTTTTTTAAAGAAATTGTTTGGTGCTTTAAGGTATAAGAATCAGAGGGAGGATATTTTGACTACCAAAAGTTTCCACTACCACCTTACTACCTATCTAATCACCATTGGATTAATATTTTCTCTCTCTTCAAAAACTTTTTAACATTCTCTCTCTTTGATCCAATGGTGATTTGATAGGTAGTAAGATGGTAGTAGACACTTTTGGTAATCAAAATATCTCCCCTCTAAGAATCTTCGTAAGTTGTACAACTATTTCGAAAATAAAAAACTAGACGAGGGAGTAGCTGTCGTTGGCAGCCAGGCTATTGTCAAATTTGAGATTGGATCCTCTCATGTGAAAAAATAGTTATATAGTCATGTTATTTGATCACAATCACTTATTTAAATATTATATATATATTTTTCTTTTATGTCATCATCAATAAGTAGTTGTGATCAAACAACATGATTATATGGCCACTTTTTCCGTATAAGAGGATGAACGATCAAATTTTGTCATTCATAGCATAAGAATCGGTGCTATTAAATTGTACAACGGTTTAAAAGATTAACCTTTAGGGGGCATTTGGTACAGAAGAAATTTTTATTTGTCCAGGAATCTCGATTTTAAAAATATGATTTTTACATTCAATTTACGATAATATCTAAAAATTTAAAATTTAAAAAAATTCAGTTTCCCGAAAATCCGAGAAAAATCCGTGTAGCAAACGGCACTGGGAAAAGAGAGTGTCTGTCGTTGGCAGCCTAGTCGTTGTGTACATAACTGAATCAAGTTAAAACAATTATACCATTGTCGTAAGCTGAATTTGAAAGAACTTGCATAAACAATATTTGAATCAACCATAAAGATAAAGTAACCAAATTCCATTCCAAAGTAATGAATCAAACAGCATTGACATGACATTTAGGTTGAAGTCAAAGTAAGGAAGTAAGGAAGAAGACTCCTCCCAACAATCATCCATTCAACCACAAATGCCAGATGTAAACCTTAAACCTTAATCCTGAGTATTAGAAAACACAAACTCGAATAATTAAACCTTAATCCTGCCAAATCAAATTCACTGACTAAGTCAGTAATCCATCATTCATTGTTAATTACCTCTCCAGTCTCTCTACCTTGTGGCTCAGCCTGTGTTGTGGCTGTAACGTTCACTGTTGCAAAGCAGCTCTGGGTTCTGCCAAGTGTTCGATTAGTCAAAGGTTTCTTCCTGGGAGAATCCAAAGAGCGAAGTAAGAGATGTTTCATTGCAACAATCAAATCATGGGTGGGTTTAGTAGAAGGACTGAAAGAGGAAGATCTGAAGCTCATGTGCCGCTTGAGAGCTTCAACGGTGCCTAAATCTCTCTCCGGTGACTTCAAAGTCTCATCCTTCACCACCTCGGCACACAGTCCACAAATCCAACGACCTTGGTACCTCGCCCGCACACCTTCGATGTACTGTGGAGTACACTCCTCTGTCAACCCGCAGCAATAGCACTTTACGGAGGAAACCGCCTCCACCTCCCCCGCAGCATCTGCTATCTTAGTCGCAGCCATGACTGTGATTGAATCTCCCTCTTTCTCTCTGACCTGAGCCTTATTCTCTCACAACACATTCAAATGTATTTAATCAATGACATAATGAATATTTATAAGTAAATCCTAGCTTAATCGTTTGGAAATCGTAATAAATTACATTCAATAAGATTTTGCAAAGTTTAAGGATATAATAAAACTAATGATTTGAGTAAATTATGTTGATACCATATCTCAGGGAATGGAATGGGATTGAGATTGAGATGACAAGATCATCCCAATAATCTAAAATTAATTGTATGATATTTGAGTGAGTAATTATCGCTCTTTCTCCCACTCAATTTTACCGCCAAAAAGCAAAATCCCAAATAACGTGTAGTGCATCTCAGAGCCTTAACTGGCTCTCTGCTGTTCTTGAAATTCAATTGCACAGGAATGAGCAGAACCAATATATCCTCTCCCCTCTTTCATATATTACATATTACAGACCTCAACGACACCTTACGAGGGAGGGGCAGAACAGAGTCAACCATACAATTTTCAATATTTATTTATTATTATCATTTTAAAAAATTAATACAAATATAAAAATAAATAATTTCCAATCATTAGCACTTTGGTTCCAAGTTCCAACACGTAATGTTTTTCACAGAGCTGCTCCATGGTCACCGGAGTGTATCTATCTAACTTAAATATAAAATTATTGTTGTAACGTTTATAAGATTAAAATTAGGCAAAACGATAGAAGTGGTAAATTTAAAAGAAAATTGCTCAATCAATATAAATTTAAATTTATTTTTGAAATAATGCAATTATTTGTGCACATAAAATGTACAATTATCATGTGGCGTAATAAGATGCGTGGCGCACATATTATGTGCAGTTAGTTGCACACAATATAACTTACCAGAATTGTATTATTTTGAAAAAATAATTATAAATATATATTAATTAAAAAATTTAAAATGCATTATGTCATTTTGTCTTAAAAATGTAATTTAAAAGATTAATATTTGACTGCACGTCCAAAATATTTTCTCATGCGTTATTAGAATTTTCAATTAATAATCACAATTATCTAATCAGTCAGTTATTTTTAAAGGATTTTTATTAATATTTTTTATAAGATTTTTACAATTTTATTTTATCTTTGTTAATGCATTATTCTTAATATTATTATAATGAGGGTCTCATATATATATATATATATATATATATATATTTTTTTTTTTGGTATGCTCTCATGTATATATTTAAATCTAATTACATATTCCTCCCTAATTTGTTATTGATTTGTGTGTAGAAACTTTTTAAAATATATTGTTTCTATCCTATATACAAAACAACTAATAGAACATATAGGATATTGATGTCAAAAGCGTATAGAAAAAATAGATAAAAAACGAAATTGAATTCAATAAAAAAGAAATTCCCGTGTTCTCAATTTATATTGTCAAAATAATAAAATATTCAACTCTTACAATAAGGGTCTTGACTAATTACAAATTAATTCAAAATTTAAAATCCTAAAAATTATAACTACTATAATTACCTTTCAAAATTAAATAAATATAATTAAATCATTCAAAATATATCCACAATCTTATATATCACATCACATCCAATTTATTGTTTTTCTTTTTTTGCCCAACAAATTACAATCACATTTGTTGACTTAGAATTGATTGTGATATGTTAGATTTCAATTGTTACTTTTTTTAACATGCCAGACATGATATATAAATCATAGTTTTAGTTGATTCTAAACTTGTTGAATCAATCAGTTAATTGATTGGGTTTCGCAGATATTGCAATTGTAAGTGCATTCTATACCATCAACATAATTTATATCAAGGTATACTAATCTTTATCATGAACGGAAATCGATAATTCTAATTCTATAATTTATACCTTTATTAATAATATTTTAAATTAATGAAATGTAAAATTAATTGATAGATAATGCAAATAACTAATTATACATGGAGATTAATGTTTTTCCTACAAGTAAAAAATAACTTTATCTTCTATTTGCACAAAATATTTTATTTTCATATTTATCATCACTGCCTCAGCACACAGCCCACAAATCCGCAGCAATAGCACTTTACGGAGGAAACAGCCTACACCTCCTCCGCGGAGTCTGTTGTCTCAATCGCAGCCAACCAGCGATAACTCTAATTGAATCTCCCTCTTTTTCTCTGACATGAGCCTAACTCTCATACAACATATTCAAATGTATTTAATCAATGACATCATTAATATTTGGAAGGAAATCATAACTTAACCATTTGAAAATTGTAATAAATTACATGCAATAAAATTTTGCAAAGTTTAATGAGATAATTAAATGAGAAATTATGTTAATACCGTATCCCAGGGAATGGAATGAGATTGAAATTGAAATGTAAAATTAATTGTATTATATTTGAGTGAGGAATTATTGCTCTTTCTCCCACTCAATTTCGCCACCAAAAAAAGCAAAAGCCCAAATAAGATATAATGCATCTCAAGCCTTAATTGGCTCTCTGTTGTTCTTGAAATTCAATTGTACACGAATGAGAGAACCAATATATCATCTTCCCTCTTTCATGTATTACAGGCCTCAACAACAAGAGCAAGTACGACGGCACTATTGACCATTGGATATAATAGGTGATTTACATTATATATTTTAAAATATATAATATAAAATATTAAAGTTATTTTTTTTTCTTTAAATATCAATTGATGTAACACATTCTCATTAATTCATTATACCCATAACAGAACAGCAGCACTAAATCCCCCTCTCCCCCCCCCCCCCACAAAACCTTATGAGAGAGGGGCAAAACAAATATTTATAACATTTTCTAGATTTATTTATTTTTATTATTTTAAAAAATTTAATACGAATATTAAAATAAATATTTTCCAATCATTGGTAATTTGGTTCCAAGTTCCAACACTTTTCACTGAGCTGCTCCATGGTAACCAGAATATACCTATCTAACTTATATAAAATTCATGTTGTAACATTTTTAGATTAAAATTAAACAAAACGATAGAAGTAAGGTAAATCAAAAAAAAAAGGTGCTCAATCAATATAAATTTAAAATTATTTTTAAAAATAATGCAATTATTTGTGCATATAAAATGTATAATTATCATTTGGCGTAATAAAATAAGTGGCGCACATATTATGTACAATTAGTTGTGCACAATACACAAAAAATATTAAAAAGATTAATATTTGATTGCACACCCAATATATTTTGTCATGCGTTATTATAATTTTTAATTAATAATCACAATTATCTTTAAAAAAATTAAATTAAATTAAATCATTCAAAATATATCCTGAATCTTAGATCTCAAATCACGTTAAATTTTATGTTTTTCTTTTTTTGTCAAACAAATCACAATCATATTTGTTGATTTAGATTTGATCAGAATCGGTTTGATTTCAATTGTTGTTTTTTTGAACATGCGAGACATGCTTAATGATTCACTCCAAATTTCTTGAATCAATTAATTGGGTCATGCGTAATATGCAAATTGTAAGTGCATTGTATACCATCAACATAATAAATAGATAAATAATGTAAATGACTAATTATATATATAAATTAATATTTCTCCTACAAGCATAAAATAATTTTGTCTTATGTTTGCACGAGAGATATTATTTCCATATTTATTATTTTTAAAGACATGATTATTCTTAAAAAGTCATATTGCTATTTGCTAATGATGATGTCTCTTCATTTAATTATACGTGTCTTATCACATGCTAATTATTTCATTCATAAGATAAATACAAAAATTATGAAGGAGCATGGGGTTGTAGGATTGAATTGAAGGTGTAAATTGTGAAGGGTAGGATATCAGATTTAAACCTCTTTCAATAGTTGTGAGCTGTCGTGAAAATGAGAGTTTGACATTACCAAGATAATAATGAAAACATGTTGAGTATTATCTTAAAAATATATCATTTATTAAAATTTATTATAAAAAATAATATATCTTATTTTATTTATTCTACTCATTCCTTTACGATTAATATCAACTAATTTTATTTTTTTATTTAGAAAATATCTACTCTTATAATATTGAGAATATGCTCAACAATAAATTTTTTTATATAGAAAAACATGTAGTTCAAGAAATACTTTTTAGTATTCCTCAATAATTATTGAGTAATTACATTTATTTTAAATGAGCGTTTTAAAGTTAAATTAAACTGTCCAACTTAATCAATTATATTATTTGATTTTATTATAATCTTATTATAAATTAGTGAGTTATGTCTTACTTTGAAAATTTGACTGATTTCATTTTTATTTTATTTTAAACATGCTTATAAACATTTAGAATAGTTACCATGCATGAAGATATTTTATAAAAAATAATATAAGTGGCAAGTTATTTATTAACAATATATGATCACATAATAATATAACTTTTACCTCAACAAATTTATTATCACTTAATAAATAAAATATACTCTTGATTGTCTTAGATTTATTATAAATTGTTATGTAGTATTAAAGTGTGATTTGACTGTTCTTAATAAAGTATAAAAAAATAATGCTATACAGGTAAAATAATTTCTAATACTTATCTTATTACATAATAAAAAATAAAATATTTAATATATTACAAACTTAACAAATTAATAATATGTTTCCATTTAATAACTAAAAATTAATCAATAATACTATATAACATTATTATTCAGTAATATTTCACGTAAATAAAATTACAATTAAATTTAATACAAGCAAGACAAACATAAAAAATATTTGATATATTTTATTGTGGTTTCTTCGATGTCCACGTTTGCATGGCAGAGAATAATATGAGTAAGTGGTAAGGTACTGTCAGCCAATGAGAAATATACAATTATACGTGGACCCTACATACCTTTATATGTGTGTGAGAGATAATTTTATCTCCAACATGAGAAATATTATTCCCATTATTATTTTTTTCGACTGATTTTAGGAAAATCAGATAAAAAGACAAAGATTAGAAGAAGA